ACGTGCTAAAACATCCATGCATGTGTGAGACATTCATTCATTCAACAAATGCTCAGTGACTCCTACTTCATGCCATGACCTGTACTGGGTGTCGAGAATACAGCAAGGAGCAAAGTCGTCATGGTCCCTACCCTAATGTAACTTTGAAGGTGAGTGAGGGAAACAGCAAGACGTAAGAAGCATAAGAAGTTAGGAAAGAAAAGAACAGGCTTCTCTGAGAGAGAAACTAGAAAGGTTGTTAGTGAAGGCCTCTCTGAGCAGCGTCCATTTAGACAGAGCCCTAAAGGTTAAGTAGAAGCCCTCTGTGCCAGAATGGGGGTCAGAGGCATTTCAGAGGGAAGAATTTGACGTGTGTGTTAGGGAATCTGAAATAACTCAAGAAAGATCAAAGGGAATCGATTTTTAATGGAAGGTCCTAAAAAGCATCTATCTATTTTGTCTTTCAAGCCCTTGGAAGTAACACTGTGGGCCTGGAAGCTACAGCCTCACCTGCTATCACCCCTGTTCCCACCACCTGCTGCTGTTATGGGTCATTCTTCTTAAATGCAAAATAGAAAGATCTTCCATTTTGCCTACTTTTAAAGGAATGCATATTTGTTGGACAAATTCAAACAATATAAAAGTGTGTAAAATATACTCTTAAAGACTGAGCATGCCTGCAAATACCATCATCCATGCAATGCCATTATTACAGCTTGGTATCTCGTTTCAGGTATTTTCTATAAATATAAAGTAATGTAAAGTCTGTACCAGGAGTTGGCAAACTTTTTCTGGAAAGGGCCAGAGAGTGAGTATTTTTACTCCAGATGGTCTCTGTTGCCACTGCTCAGCTCTGCTTCATAATGCTAAAGGCAGCCACAGACAATATGTAAACAAATGGCTGTGTTCCAGTAAAACTTTATTTACAAAACCAGGCAGCCACCGACCTGTGGGCTGTAGTTTGCTGATCCCTGTTCTATATGAATGAGATCTCACCATATGTGCTCATCTGTAATCTGACTTTGTGTGTGTGAGCCCAAGAATAGATCTTGGACACCTTCCCATATCAGTATTCAAAGACTAGTGCTATTCCTTTAAAAGGCTGCTAGTGTTTTAGTAGATGGCCCTAATCCACCCTTTATAACCAGTTCCTTACTGGTTGAATGTTTGGATTGTCTTCAGGTTTTTGCAGTTTATAAGGTTTGGAAGTAAGCCTCATCTATTAGGACCAGAGAGAAGCTGGCTCTTCTTATTTTCCCATTTTGAAGGGCTTGGGTTTTATTTATTATAATCACCATGATGCTTTAGTCATTTAGCGTTATCATTCACAGCTGAGCTTGGTTTGGCTGACTAAAGACCTGATTTTGGTCTTAATTCTACCTCTAAATAGCTGAAAGGCTTGGAAGACTCATTTAGCATCTCTGATCACCATATTCCTCATCTATAAACTGAACATGAGCATAACTGGCCCTGCTTTCTGCAGAGGGTATTGTGAGACACAAATGAGATAACGGCTTGGAAAGTGCCTTGAAAATTATGAAGCGATATTCCTATGTAAGGGACTATCATCACTATCATTATCCTTGTCATTATTATTAATGTGGTAATGCTCGGGATGATGAGCTCATCTTGCTCTGACGTGTGAGTAAATATAGAATAGAGTCTGTATTTGGAATCATTGATGTGGTTGTTGATTTTCCAGGCCTCAAAGTATTCAGCCAAACAATTCAGCAGCCATTTATTAAGCCTCTATTATGTGCCAAATAAGGCCAGCCTTGGTGCCAAGTTCTGTGCTAGTTGCCAGGGTTATGAGAAGACTAGGTGATGGTCCCTCTCCTCCAGGAGTGCAGAACCCACTGGGAAGAACTACCCTTGCCCAAGCTACCAAAATAGTGCAATTCATGTTATAACCAGGGAAAGAGAAACAGAATTCTGCCAGAGAGAAGGTGGCATTAAAAAGTGTAGGAGTTTGCCACACAAATAAGGAAAGAAAGGACATTCTGACATCTGTAAAGTTCTAGGGTAGTCATACCCAGCTAGGGTCCAATGCTGGTGCAGCAGTTACCCAAAAACACAGTTGCTTATATAAGGTAGACATTTATCAGCCTTCCTATAAAAGAAATCTGGAGGACAGCGTCCAGGGTTGATGAGGGAGTTCCACGTTGGTCCTCTTGCCTCTCTGCTCTACCATGCTAGTCCATGGACCCCACATCAAGGTTATCTCGGATCCAAGATGGCAACTGAGGTTCCTGCCATCATGTCTGAGTTCCAGACTGAGAGAAGGAGGACAGATGGAAAGAAGGAAAGGCTGATAAGCATTTCTCTCAGCTGAGTCCACTTCCTTTAAGTAGGCTTTTTAGAAGTTCCACAATAATCCACTGAAGGTATTTAAGTGCCCACCATGTGACAGGCACTGGAATACAGCTATGAACAAACTGAACAGCTGTCCTTCTGAAATCTATGTTCTAGTGGAGGAAGATAGAAAAAAATAAGGTCGATATAGAGTCAATGAGAGAGTGTTGACTGCAGTGGAGAGAAATATAGCAGAGGAGGGTGTTGGGGGCATTGGGAAAAGGAGTATTGCAATTTTAAGTAGCTGCCCAAAGGGTGTCACTGTGAAGGAGACATTGAGCTAAGTCCTGAAAGAGGTAAGAGAGGGAGCCACAAAGACCAGAGGCCAGTGTGGTTGGAGCAGAGCTAGCACAGAGATGACAGGAGCTGAGCTCACAGAGGGGACTATTGGGGCCGCACGTTCAGGGCCTTGGAGGCCTGTAAGGATTTTGGTTTTACTCTGAGTGAGACGGGAGGCTATTGGATTGTTTTCAGCAGACATGATCTAACTTGCGTTTACATCCCCTTGTCCAGACATAGCTGCCCAGGAGGCTGAGAAATGTAGAATTTAGCCTTGGAGCTCTGGATAGAATCGGAGTTCTGTTATTGAAGGATGAAGGTGGGGAAAGTGGTTATTAGGGACCGCAGCTAGTTTGGCCTCTTATGAGCGGTGTGAACTTTGATCCCAAGTTACTTAATTTTTCTGAACTTCAAGTAAGATTTCACCCACTTTGAATTTATAAAGAGGGAGGGGAGGGTGAGGAGGGATAACATGGGGAGGAATGCCAGATATAATATGCACCTATAAATTTTAAAAAAATATGAACAAGAAGAAAAGCAAAGGGAAAATATCAACATGTTAATAATCGCTAGTTTCAAATGAACCACTTGTACAAACAAAAAGTAAAATAAACTTTTAAAAAGAAAAAAAAGGATAGATGAAACAAAAGATATGATGACACTTTTTTGGATCTCTGTGACTCACATATGGGTCACCTGGTGGCCAGTTATATTCTGGCCAGAGCCACTAGGCTCATGGAGAAGACAGATTTGATAAAGCAGATCAAGGCAATGCACCACGGGGCACATGAGGAAACCACTGAGGAGTCCCCTGCAGTGAGTGGCCATGTTCTGAACCCACTTGAGTTTAAATGCAGTCATGCATCCAGAGCTGTTCCACTCTCAGCTGCGGGCAAAGACTTAATGTGCAGGATGGTCTCACATGCTCCCGTGCAAGAGTGAGACTCTCAGAGTCCCATCCCATCAGTCAACTGAGTGACAGCCTCAAGCAGTGGCCACCTCCTGTGTAGGTGATCCAAAAGGTACCCAGGTGACAAGGACTGCCCTCAGCAAAATTCCTTCTGAGCCATTCATCGCTGATGAAATGAACTCTGATCTCTTCTAGTCTGGTTCTTTCCTCCTTAGCTCCACTCTTTGAATTTCTGAGTCCTTCTGTAAGGACTGACAGCACCCTTTTGTGAGTCTCCATCTCTAGACCTCTGTGTTGCCCCTGCCATAATGTATCCTGCAAAATGCTCATCAATCAACCCGATAGTCATTTGCATCTCTCTGGTACTGACTGGCCTCAGCTGTGTCCTTTTACTGCCCAGCCCTGGTGACAAACCTCTTGACCATCAGTTATCTTAGAACAAGGAAGACTGAGGAAAGGCAATCATGCATGAAAGTGAGCATGGACTCCCAGGAGCTGCTCAGGATTCCCAGCCGATGGTGAGGGATGCTGTAGACTGTCCTACTCCAGAGATTTGGGACCTGGGCTCGTACTCCCAAGCTATAGGCCATGTCAAGCATGGTCTTATCTGGTGCAGAGAGGCAGAGTAGAGGACTGTTACATGCATCACTGTATGATTGATTGGGAAGACACATATGGATCAATAGCCACATGGAGAAACACTGTAGTTTTAATAAACTGGCAAGCACCCAGTACCCAATGCAAAGCCCTGGAAAACCACATTGGAGACATCAACTTATTCCACTGGTCGGCTAACCCAACCCAGAGGTGGAAGTGTGTTTTGTACTTCCTCCCTGAATCTAAGTATTGGTACCCATGCACTCAGAAGTACCTGCAACAGATGGGTATGACTGAGCCTGCAGAACAGATGCTAGCTCCACTCCCCAGCCAGTGGTACAGGTGGGGCAGAAGAGAGAGGAAGAGAAAGAGCATCTCCTAAAACAGACTGCCTGCCCTGCTTCCCCGGGAAACACAAAAGGCCAGGAAGCTGCTGAGCATAGTAGGGGTCAAAGATGAGCAAAGGGGTAGACTGTGCCCAAGCACTGACCTTTCCCACAATGACCCTGCCAGCAGCTGAGATGTGGGCCAGGGACCCTCAGCCCCCACCATCCAGAAAAGCACATCCTTCCCTTGGAGGGGAGCAAGCAGGGGATGAGAAAGGGCCTCAGGGATTTCGCTGGGGCTCCTTCCTCTGTGGGTCAATGGAAGAATATGGGGAGAGAAGGGGAAATTTCCCTCTTCAATGTGATTTCCATCCTTCAATTTCTACCCAAATTTAAGAGATGTTTCTAGACCTGAGGGGAATAGGAGCCACAGTTGTGAATCCCCATGTGCTCTGTGGCTAAAGTCAGCTTCTTTTCATGGGTGCTGCAGCCCAGGAAGAGCCTCCTTATGAGCCCTCTGTGTGTGTGCACATGTTTGTGTGTTTTTTTACCCCCAGAAAACCCACGGGAGTCATGTTTTGATCCTGGTTCCATCAAGAATGGCACACGAGTGGGGTCTGACCTGAAGCTGGGCTCCTCCATCACCTACTACTGCCACGCAGGCTACGAAGTTGAGGGCACCTCGACCCTGAGCTGCATCCTGGGGCCTGATGGGAAACCCGTGTGGAACAATCCCCGGCCAGTCTGCACAGGTGGTGGGAGCCCAGGGATGGGACGGGTCTAAGGATGAAGGGCATGCCAGGGGCAGAAGGTGCTGTGGGCTAGGGAAAGGAGGGAGACATAGTCTTTAAGGCTTGCTCCTCCACAAACCTGGGTTTGTGTGGATATGTATAGAAGTGGCTTATAATTCACCAGGTATGCAGTTCCTGTCAAGGTGTCATCACAGTTCACATAGTGTCCCCACCCCCATTCACACAGATGCTGGTGCCCTCAACAGAGGCCCCCAGACATGCCACAACAGGGAGCTTGCACCAGGGAGAAGTCATTTAAAGGTGGCTCCTGGACTAGTTCCTAGGTCTAGGGAAAATCACTGAGAGATCAGCTATGTTGAAGTAAGGCCAACAGAGTGCACCGATTCCAGGTGGGTCTGGGTGAGCCATGGGGTTCCTGACAAGAGGGATAGGAATGAGTATCAGGGTTTTAAGAGCGTGGTGAGCATCCAAGTTGAAAAGCCAAGGTACCCCTTTGTAAGAGAGGTACCTCTCTGTAAGAGAGGCAGGCTCAGACCCATCCTTTGTGGAAATTGGGCACCATGGAGGGGAACAGAAGATGCCTGGGTCACATGGGCTGGCCGCTCCCCATGGGGTTCGTCTGTTTGGGGAAGCTTCAGCTCCTTACTCATGCTGATACTCATTCCAGGTACAGATGTCAGCCAGGGGCAGCAGATCATTTCTAGACCCCACTTGTAAGCAGAAGAGGTTCCTAATGTGCTCCCTAAGGCTGTGACTTCAGGGACCAATGCCAGTGTTAATAGGTAGAGGGCAAGAACTGCCATCTGCCCAAGAGGCCCTTGGCAGCTTCAGGGAAAGTTTCAGCTACGTGCCTGGCCAGGGATGCATGTCCCTGGGCAGAACAGGGCAGGGCAGTGTCCTCAGGACTTCCCTTCTATAAGCTAGGGCCGCCCACCTCAGGGCAGCCCTACTGGGGCCAGAAGCTCAGGCTGGGGCAGAACGGAGGAAGGTCACTGGTAAGAGGCCCACAGGGTCACCTGACTCTCTATCTGGTTTCTCTTTCAGCCCCCTGTGGGGGACAGTATGTGGGTTCGGATGGAGTGGTCTTGTCCCCCAACTACCCCCAGAACTACACCAGTGGACAGATCTGCTTATATTTTGTTACTGTGCCCAAGGACTATGGTATGGGTTTTGGTTGTTGTTCATATGTTTTCTGACTTCTTACCCTCATTCCAAAATGGGCAATTCCTCAGGCTCTTCCCAATTATACAGCCCCATTGTGGGAACTGCAGAACAGTCTCCCAAAAAAAGGACAGCTGAGTACTGACTTTCCAAAACAGGCTGAGAATATATTCCTGACACAAGAGAGCCGAAGGGCACAAGTGAGCCCCGCCAGAACCAAGGGAACAGAGTTGGTGAGAAACTGGACGAGACAGAGGGAAGGCAGGGTGTCCCAGGGAGCTACCCAGTATGGCCCAGGTCTAAAGAGAGGTGCCGCAGATCTAGACCTGTTAGGAACCCAGGGGTGAGTGGCCAAGGAGCAGGAGGGAGGGGATGGAGCTGGGCTTGAAAGTGCAGGTGTGGGATGCCAGGAGCCACATCATTCTGGTGTCCCATCTGAGAACCAAAGCCTGGTCCAGGAGCTACAGGTAGGACAAGCAAGAAAAAAGTGAGGAGCAGGCCAGTGCCCTGGGAAGACAGAGAAACTTCCAGATTCCAAAAGATGTGGGCAGAAAACACCAGGCCCATTACCTGGTTGGCAGTGGGGACATTGAAGAGTCCTGCCAGCCCTGGAGGCATTCACGAAAATGAAGGGCAACCAGGTTACCAGGCTGGCTTCTTTCTCTCTGGACCTCCTCTTTGCAGACTAACAACCATGTCTAAACACAAGTGATGTTGGGTGTGCCACAGGGCATCAACATGTCCTGACCATCCAAGAGAGAAGGAGAGGGTGAGCAGCCTGCAGAACACTAGCTCCTTATTCCCAAAAGCAGGGTGGGCAAGCACAGAGCAAGGCCTGATGCTTGAGGTGTTCACCAAATGTTTAGTAAGCTCCCATTGTGGGCCATGCACTCTACTGGGTCCTGGGGCTGCAGAGTCATCTCTGCCGAGAGACATATTCTCTGTCCTCTATAAATTCCCAGTCTCATCTCTACCCATAGCTCCAGCTGTCAGTGCACCCACTCCTGCCCCAGAACAAGGATGCTTATGTACAAGTGCACATACTCCCCAATATACTGAGGAGCTTCAGATTTGCAGGATCACAGTTAGAAAAGTCCTGAAAGGCTGTCCAATCTGATCTCCTACCCAGAGCAGAATCCTTGATAGATGGGCCTACAGTTTGTGCATGAATCCCTCAAGTGATAAGGAGCTCACCCCCAAAATGAGCTCAGTTGGACTGTATACAGATTTCTGTATACAGTTTTCAACTCAACGACACTGACTAACTGGCCTTGGGGTTAGCCAACAACCTAACAAGGCCAGTTAGTCAGTATCACTGAGTTGAAAACTATACAGAGATCTGTCCAAGTGATCTTCTTTTGCCAGTGATGCTGAGCCTGAGGATTAAGGGCAGATTTTTCCCTCCTGGTCTCAAAGACTTGACCCTCAGCACAGATACCAGCTCTAGTGTCATCTTAAAGATCTTCCTTTGATCCCCTATCTAAAGTGGCCTGCGACACTCCATCATTCTATCCCATTACACTGAGAACTTAACACTATGTGATATTATCTTGTCTATTTGCCTAAGTATTTCTTTGAGGGGTAGGGGTTGACTATCTCTTCCCAATAGAATATACACTCTGTGAAAACAGAAACCCTACCTGTCCCTGTTCACCACTAATAGGGGGAGCAGGGAGCTCCCTGTGCCACCAGCCCTAACTCAGTATTCATTGTCAAGGTAGGGAAATGTACTCTTCCTCCTGCTCCTCTAAGCATGAGTTGAGAGCAAAGGATCCCTTATTCCACTCACTACTATACATACCATTGCAAACAGTTTTTAATCAGGCAGTCAACTCCGTGGCCTGAGTCCCTCTCTGCCCTGATACATGAATGTACACACACACACAACACATAGAATGCAACACACAACACACACGTACACACCAAACACAACATACACACAACACATGCACACAACATGCATAACACACAATATACACATACCACACATGTAACACACAACACAGTCACATACAATACACAAAACACACATACAATACACCTACAACAATGCATACATACAACACATTTACACATAACACATGCAACATATACAATACAACACATTCATGCACACACAATACACAACACGTGCACAACATGCACACAACATGCAACATATAGCACATGTAACACATGCAATATACAACACATGCACGTGTGTGCACATGCAACATATACAAAGCACAGATGATATATACTCTACAGACACCACACACAGCATACCTGTATAACACACAACACACATGCATAACACACTTGCACACAACATACAACATGGACATAGGACATACAACACACCTGTATGCACATGCACACATAAACACACTGCACACAAACATATACAACACACAACATAAGCACACACATCCTCCTTCCTACATGCTTAAGGCCCTGAGCCAATGTAAAGAAGTGTCTGGCCTGGCTCTTGCCCTCTAATGCACCAGACCACCTGGGAGGCCGGTGCATGCAGAATGAACCGGGGTCTGGCAGATAGCTGACTGGCAGCCATGCCCACTGTGGCCCAGGAGTGCTCTAGCCTCTCAGCCCTGATTAGAAGAGAGGGGCAGCTGAGGAAACTCCCTGCAATCTGTAGCTGGCGGCCCAAATACCCATCAAATGGCAGGGCTCTTAGGCTGTCTCTGACTGGGGACTCATGAGGGCTGTGGCCCACTGCCTTTTCAGCCCCCCTCCCAAACTAGCTGAGTGGCCTTGGGGAACTGTCTAAACCTCAGAGCCTCAGTTTCTTGTCTACATAATACGGATAATACCTGGAACAGTCATGGTCAAGTATGATATCTGGCACCTACTAGGTGCTTAATAAATAACATCTTCCCCCTTCCATCTGAGCAATGGTTTGCCTGCTCTGTAGACAGTGGCTCCTTCCCTGGGAGCAAACTGCTGTTCACCCTCCATTCCTCTCAACGGTAGGAGATCTTGCACCCAGGAGCTGCCCTGGTCTGTTGGATCTTTGAAAAAGAATTAAGGGAGAACATGGGGTCCTGACATCACATGGAGAATAAGGGTTGGCTTCCAGTAGCTGCTGCAGCTGCTATCTGGGAAAGGAACAAGGTGGGCTCAGTTTCGCCTCCACCCACGTGACCTCTGGGTGCAGCCCTCCATGTTGTCTTGATTCTTGTGAAGGCCAGCCCAGCCTCCCCAGCTCCCCACCTCCCTATGCGGGGTGTCTGGCCACTGCCAGACTGCCACTATGCTAACCAGTGCAACAAGCCACAGCCCAGGAACCACCAGCAGCCCCAGGACTGCCCTCCTCCTGGCCTGGGCCCCCAGACCCCTAGATCCCTTGTCCTGCCGCAGCGTGCCTGCCTGCCCAGTCCCCACGCCGTGTCTCCTCCACAGTGGTGTTTGGCCAGTTTGCCTTCTTTCACACGGCCCTCAACGACGTGGTGGAGGTTCACGACGGCCACAGCCAGCACTCGCGGCTCCTCAGCTCCCTCTCGGGCTCCCATACAGGTACTCGGGGCTTGGCCAGGGTGGGGACGGTTGCGGGCCGGGGGCATCACGGCTGGCTAAGGGAAGGAGGTGCTAGAAGCACCCCATGGCCGCAGGTGGAACCCTGCGGCTCTGCCCGCAGAGGCCAGCTCCCGGCAGCTCCAGGCAGCTCCGGCTGGCGGGGCCTTCAGCAGCTGCCCTCAACCAGGCTGTGTCTACACCGCCCCCTAGTGGTCTAGCCTTCTCCTGTTGGTTCGTATTCAGATACAAGTTTTTTTCTTATTGTAAATGTATTATTGCATTTTCATTGTAGAAAACTTAGTGACAGAACAAAATAATTGCATACAGAACCAAAATATAGACTACCCAGAAAGAGCCACTGACAATATATAGTGGATTTCCTTCCAGTCTTTGTATCTTCTTCGACATTTACGTATTTTATTCAACAAACCAATATAAAGATTTTATTGAAATATTCACTGTGAGGTTTCCTCTGTCATTTTTTCTTCTATGATAGGATTTTTAAGTGCCACATAATAGACTCTCATATAGTTAGTTAAAATTTATGTAATGAATTCCCTATTACTGAACATTTAGATTATCTGTAATGTTTTGTGCTTATGAATAGTAATGCAGTGTATTATACATACAGCTTTATATACATTTCTGTTACTTTAGAATATCTAGAAGTGCAATTGTCAAGTTAAAGGATATGTGAGATCTTTAAGGCTTTTTATGCAGATTATCAAATATTCCTCTAGAAAGATCTTACCAGTTTGATCACCAACAAGTAAGAGGGCATGTTTTATTCTCACAAAAACCAGGTGATTAAAAAAACAAAAGCATCATCAGTTTGAAAAGTGAAAGTGGCATCTCATTTTCTAATTTGCCTTGTTTTATTACTAGTTAGGTTCGCCTTTTTGTAATGTGTTTATTGGACTGTGAATTTTTTATTTGTGAATTTATTGTGAATTTGTGTCAATTTTTCTATAAGCACTTATTTTCTTATTTATTGAGTAGAGCTCCATATTTTATAAGATATATATATATATGTATGTATGTATAGATATATATATGCACTATAAAAAGCCCTCCTCTCCAGTTTGTCATTTGCTATTTAATTTTCTTCAGGGTGCTTTAATGTCAGAATATGTAAATTTCCCATGCTATCAAATCTATCAATGTTTTCTTTTACAGTTTTCTCCTTTGCTTTTATGCTGGTCAAATAAATATTCCTCTGTGCTTTCTTTCACTTCTTAGTTTCATCACATCGCTTTAATACCTTTGAAATTTATTTTGATTTATTATTTGATATAGGGAATTTAACCATATTCTTTCAAATGTAGTTAATCAGTTGTCCTAGCAGAATTTTCAAAATGCCAAATTTACATATACTAAATTTTTATGAAGTGTCTGTTCCTAGACTTTTTATCTATTACTTCTAAGTGTCTATTTATTCTTTTTTCAGTTTTAATTATTGTAACACTATAATAGTGTTTACAATATAATAATTTTAAACACATGGTACACTAAGTCCCCATAGCCATTCTTTGTTTTGAATTTGTATTGACTGTTGTTGCTTACTTTTGCCCCCAAAATTATTTAGAAATATTTTGAAAAGTTAAAAACATTGCATCAAAATCTTGACTGGGGTTTAATAAAACTTACACGTTAAATTAGGACGAACTCATATGTTTATAACATTAACTCTTCTTCTTGTCCAGGAACACATTATGTCTCCCCATTGTTTATCTTCTGTAGCCCTGGGACACTGCAATAATTTTTATTTAGGCAGTGTGCATTTTTTGTTAACTTTATTCCTAGATATTTTATGGAGGTTTTTGTTGCTGTCATAAATGGGTCTTTTTCCCCCGATACATTTTCTAGCTGGTCTTTGCTAGTATATTCAGAGACCGGCATTTTTGGCATGTTTGCTTTGTAAAGTCGTTGGACTCTTCATAATATTGCTTACACTGCCAGCTAATTCTCCTGGCTCCTCTAGGCAAGAAGTAATATCATCTGCAAATAAATTTGTCTCATTATTTTATCTCCTCCTTTTCAGTGGCTTTTATTTTCTTCCATGATTATTGGTCTATTCAGGGATATTACTCTAATATCAATGTTGATATTTTATCTTTGAGTTTAAAAACCCATTTCATAATTGTCTTTACATTTAGTACCACAATTCACATAATGAACTCTGGTGATGTTTACCCTGCTTCGTATTAGAGGTGACATTCCAGCACGATTCCTATGCTGCATCGTGCATTCATCATCCCCCTTTTCCTCAGGGGTTTTGTGTTTTTTGGGTTTGTTTTTTAATTTTTATTGCTGCAATTTATCAATTATTCTGCAGAATTTGCTGTTATTATTTGATTAATCTCTGCCTTTTAATTTCATCATTTCCCTCTTAGTATTTTTCTTCCGATTATGTTGTTCTTGTTCTAACTCCTTAAATTGAGAGCCCTATTCATTATTTTCTCTGTGTAATAAAGAACATGTTCACATTAATGTATTCACCTCCAAGCATAGTTTTGGCTTCATGCCATAAATTTTGATATATACTGTGTTCATCATTACTTTCTAAATAGTTCACCATGGTGTTGTTTACTCTATTTGCCCAAAAGTTGGCTAAGAATATCTTTTCTTTTCCCCTAAGAATATAGATTTCCTTCTTGTTGCATTAAGTTTGTGTGTTAATTTCTATTTTTATTGTCATGTGGTGAGAGAATGTGGCCTATACCATTTCTTCTTTGGGAATTAATTGAGACCCTCTCAGTAGTCGAGGATCTTTTTTTTTTTAGTTTTCTATAAATATCTAAGAAGGATGTGCATTCTCTCTGTAGGGTAGAGAAGTAGGACGAATGAGCTCAGGTTCTACGATCACACTCTTCTTTTTTTTTTTTGCCAATCAGTTTGAGCTTATAAGGTTGCTCAGGTTAGCCTTGAACTCATGACCTCACCTTCGCAAGCGCCACGACCTCCGGCGGGAGCCACTTTGGACCCCAATCACACTCTTCTTAGCTCTCCTGTTTGCTTGCTAGCTGACTTAAGGCACAATACTTGACTGCTCTGAGCTTTGGTTTCCTCCTCTGTAAAATGCAAAGAGTAAGAGTCCTACCTCTTAAAGTTAGAGTTAGGAGTAAATGAGTTTTGTAATTGCCATTAAATCAATCTGACTCAATTTTGTTGTTCAAATCTATTATATCAGTGCTTCTCAACCAAATGATTTTTTTGTGACCACCACCTCACACACACTCAGACAAGAGTGTAAATCAGGAACTCCTGGAGTAGGATGCCTTTTCAAAACCTCTTAATTGATTGATAGATAGATAGATAGATAATAGATAGACAGATAGCTATAGATTTAGAGGTATAGGTAAAGGATCTTCAGGTAAAGAGAGAGAGAGTGGTCTACATTTAAGACATGTAGATATAAATATGGATATAGATATAGGTGTATAGGACCAATAGAAGAAGGAAAGGAGGAAGGGAGAGAAGGAGAGAGGGAAGGAGAGGGGGAGGGAGGGAAGGAGGGAGGAGGGGAGGGAGACAAGGAGAAAGAGGGAGAGAGAGATGTATAAGACCTGTAGATATCAAACGCCTGACCTCAGGTGATCCACCCATCTCAGTCTCCCAAAGTGCAGGGATTACAGTGAAATCCCGTCTCTATTAAAAATACAAAAATTAGCTGGGTGTGGTGGTGGGCACCTGTAATCTCAGCTACTCTGGAGGCTGAGGCAGAAGAATCACTTGAACCCGGGAAACGGAGGTAGCAGTGAGCTGAGATCATGCCATTGCACTCCTGCCTGGGCAACAGAGCAAGACTCTGTCTCAAAAAGAAAAAAGAAAAAAGAAACCTGTAGATATCAATATCAGTATATTCAGAGAGTCCCTTATTCCTCGTTTAGAGAAACACTGATAATGAGCCATTGGTATTGATGGGAGTGAACTATGTCCCTGTGCCTGATTGTGTTGGGGGAGGGGAGCTTAATGGCCACTACTCAACAGTCTTCATTTCGTTTTTCTATTTGGTGCATCAATGATTGTGAATGTCTCAAAAATAAAAAATAAAGTATCTCCCACTGCAATTATGATATTTTGTTGTCTTCTTGTATTTCTAGCAATTTTTCTATCTGTTTCCCTGATGTATCTTCTCTCATTTTCTCCAAGTCTTTTTCTTTTAAAAGGAAGTTGACTTGTTTATTGCACAAGTGAACTATTTGGTCTGCCATCTGCCATCATGTATTGTTTTTTCTGGGCTTCTGTTCATGTTGCTTTTATTTTGCTTGTGCTTTCTCGCTTTTCCATACATACCTAACCCATTTCTAATTTTCAAGTTTTTCTTGTTGTATTTGGACTTTTATACTAATGTTATCGTAATTTTTTAAATTGTGGACTTCTTCCCCAAAAGCAAATTTTTGCATTTGCATTTTGTTTTGTTAGCTCATTGACAACAGTTATTTTACTTTTCTGGTTGTATTTATCCCCGCTGGGCCTTGAATTCTCTACTTCAGTTTTGGGTTTTTTTTCAGTAGGGCTCATAACTGCAGTACTTTCATACTTTCTGTCACATGCATATATAAGAATGCTTTCCTTTTGACGTAGGATATAAATGACAACTTGATTGCAAATCAAATTATGGGTCACACTTTATCTTTCAAAACTGCAGTAATTGTTCCACGCTATTCCAACATTTACTGTTACAGACAATTGGAGTCTAACATGATTCTTTGTCCTTATAAGTAACCTGTGCTTTTCTGTCTATATGATTTTCCTTTTTTTAAAACAATTAAAAAGCCCACTAGGATGTGTTGTGAAATCTCTTTTCACTAATTCTATCTTGCACATGGCAAATACTTCAGTCTGAACCTCACATCTTAGGAAAAGTGTCTTCTTCTTTTTTTTTTTTTTTTTTTAAGTGTCTTCTTTCTTAAATGATTTTTTTTTTTTGGTGGGGGACCGAGTCTTACTCAGTTGCCCAGGTTGGAGTGCAGTGGCACAATCTCAGCTCACTGCACCCTCCACCTCCCAGGCTCAAGGGATTCTCCTCCCTCAGCCTCACAAGTATCTGGGACTGTAGGTGCACATCATCACGTCCAGCTAATTTTTGTGTGTTTAGTAGAGATGGGTTTTCACCATGTTAGCCAAGTTGGTCACAAACTCCTGACCTCAGGTGATCCGCCCACCTCAGCTTCCCAAAGTGCTGGCATTACAGATGTGAGCCACCACACCTGGCCTTAAATGATTTTTTTCTCCTTTAGTTTCTCTGTCTTCTCTTTCTGGAATTCCTTGATATATGCATATGAATTTTTTTTCATCTTTCATGTCACTTGTCATTTCTCTCAGTATTTTAATCTCTTTATCCTTTTTCTGTGGATTCTGAGAGAATTTCCCAAATTTCATCTCCGTTCCACTGTTCAGTTTCTGTGGAATCCAGCTGCTTGCACTAGCATTTCTCATCTCTTTGCAGCCTTTATTGATCTTAGATCCTTCTTCCTCCAACTTCACAGATGCAATGCTAGATTTAATCTCATGACAACCAGGGCTGAACATCTGCTGAGAGTTTTGCCTCTTCTTGGTTGTGGTTCACATAAAGTGTTTGCTTGGACTTCCCAGAGTGATCTCCTTCCTCAAAACTTTGACTTTCTTTTTTTTAATGTCCAGTGATTTTCCTATCTGCTCTCCCTTGAAGAGGGAGGCCTGTGTGCCTTCAGGGCTGAAGTTGACATGGGTTCTATGAGAGCTCGTAGGGTCCTTATCCACCTCTGTCAGGCCAGATAGAAAAATTGAGTTTCACTCTGCTCATACCCATCGGGAGGAGGAGTTGGAGATAGCAGTGATAACAAAGGAAGACTTTGTCTTCATGAGTTTCTTTCTGCTTTGTCAGCTACATGTTAGCTGGGGCAATAACTTTCAGCTGGGACAATGACTCCTAGCCAGGATCAGCCATCTGGGTCACATGTACATCTAAGCCTGCTTTGCAAAAGGCTCTCTGCTCCCATGTTGGTTGCATCACATGAGCTTCCTGGAAGTACTGGTGGACCTCCCGGTAGCTCCTTTGTGGGTCCCAACTCTAGCCCTCACTGTAGTGGGGATATAGCCTGGTTCTCTGTAATCCCTACTTCCCTCCTGAGAATAGGAATCATTTAGGGTCAGCAGCCCTTCTCAGGGGTCCCTAACACTGCAGGGGGGCAGCATGCAGGGTAGCCATGCCACTGCCTCCACCCATGTTCCCCTTGGACTTCCCCAGCATGGTGACTACACTAATTGACTGCAGGTCTAGTTGGTGCTGTCTCTCTGCTGACCCATCTGTACCTCACAAGCAGAAGATGTACCTTCGCCTTCTGCTACAAAGGCTGTCAGCCTCCCCTGGCTTCCTGTGCCCATGCAGGTTTCCCCCCGGTTTGTGTGTTATTGGCCAGCAACAGTATCTCCCGGTTTGCCTGGGACAGTGCCAGCATAACTATTGATAGCACTTTCTTTGACTCTCAAAAGTGTTCTAGTCTGAGCAATAAATTACACCATTGTTCTGGTTATCGTTCATTTCACAGGATGGTGGGAGCGTGTCTGGGAAAGGCCCGTTGCTCCCCGATGATCACATCATCCTCCTTCCCAGAAACCATTGCTATTTTTTTTTAATCAGATTGATGTAAGTTTTCCAAGTAAACCACCAGTCAGTGGGCTTGGTGACAGCCCCTCCCTCCATCCCTGTTGCTCCACACATCTTTAGCAGCTTTATGCTTTCCAGCAGGTCATTTAATATTTCTGGGCCTCTCTTTCTTTATTAAATGAGGGTACTGAACTCTGTCATGCCAACTTCACAGTGACCACAGGTCGAGTTAAGATCGTGTATCAAAAAGCTTTCTATAAATTTTAAATTGTAAAGTGCAGTAAAAAAAATGTGAGATTTTATTTGAGGAAGGCCTGGATTGTGGAAGGAATTGCTGCATGGCGTACTGGCAGCCCCTCATTCCTGGTCAGGATTTTATCTTCTGGGCCCACCTGCTGGACTCACTGTTCTCTCCTCCTTGCCCCTTATCTCGGCAGGAGAGTCACTGCCCTTGGCCACCTCCAATCAAGTTCTCATTAAGTTCAGTGCCAAAGGCCAAGCACCAGCCAGAGGCTTCCACTTTGTCTACCAAGGTATGGAGGACATGGATGCCGGAGGTGGGAACGTGATCTCAGTTCTTAAGGGACTCGGTGACTGAAGGAACAGGGGTCTTTGACCTCTAGTCTGAGTCTCTTTCTCAGGGTGTTTGGGGGGAGTTACTAGTTTGTAGGGCAATTCCCTGAAATTCAGTTGAATTTTATACATTTGCTTACTCAGCAGACATTTCTTAGACCAAGAATTATGTTCAATGAGGAAGGAAATCAGACATGGGAAGCTCATTTCTTCCCCTTCCCCACCCCACCCATTGTCTGGTGTGGTCCAGACGGCACTGAGGAGACCAGCCCAGACCTCTGACCTAGACTCCCCTGGAGTTTGGTTTTGTCTGCCAGGCACAGCAAAGGTGTGGGAAAAACGCAGGCTTTGAAGTGCCGTAGACATGGATTTGCATCCCACCTCCTCACCTGCTAGTTAGGCTCCAGCTACTCCAGGTCTCAGAGCCTGTTTGCTCAGCTGTAGGAAGAGGGCAATCACAATGCCTTGCTGATAGGATTAAGAGAGAATTTGGGGAAGTAGCTGGCACTGAGTAGCCAGTTAGTATTAGTTCCCTTCCTTACTGGCCCAGAAAGGCAGTTGGGAACATCCTGGCTTTCACCCCCAGGCTCCAACCTCCACTTGCCCAGGAGAACATCCACTTCTGTAGGGCCCAGGTTATAAGCATGGTCCTGCTCATTCGACTCTGCCCAGGATGCACTCCGTTTCCCTGTGCCAGGGTGATCCTGCCACAGAGAAGGCCATCCCGGGGCCTGGGTGAAAGGGATTCATCGGCCATGTGTGCAGCAGGGGAGGGAAGACTGGGGTCATGGAGGGCAGGACCCTGGGAAGTATCTTAAGATACATGGGGAAGACAGGACAGAGGCTGGATAAAGGCCCTGAGGAGGAAGGCCCATTTTCCTTGCTAGGGAACGTGGGACCCTGATGAGTGAGGGGCATCATTGGGAAGGCAAAGAACAACAGTGGGCCTAAGGTGGGAGGTCCACCACTCTGCCTCCCGTGCTTTATATCAGGTATCCTCCTAGTTAGCCCTCGAGCCCCTCCCTAAGGGAGAGCGCCCAGAGCCTCTCAGGTTTTCTTTCATCCAGACGGTCTTCGTTCCAGTCCCGTTGTGTGTCCATCCCTGGGCCAGTTTCTGGAGGGGTGAGGCTTGCCCCTCAGTGCCCTTGTCCCCCGCAGCGGTGCCCCGAACCAGCGCCACGCAGTGCAGCTCTGTGCCGGAACCCCGATATGGCAAGAGACTGGGCAGTGACTTCTCGGTGGGGGCCATCGTCCGCTTCGAATGCAACTCCGGCTATGCCCTGCAGGGGTCGCCAGAGATCGAGTGCCTCCCTGTGCCTGGGGCCTTGGCCCAGTGGAACGTCTCGGCCCCTACGTGTGTGGGTGAGTAACCAGTACCTGGGTGGGGGAGGCCAGCACGTAGTCCTTTCTCCCTGGGGGAGACAGCCAGCCCCAGCGATGCTCCACAGCACACAGCAGCCACTTCCCAGCGCATGACTGAGGTGGCATGTCCCAGTCTCCCCCAGTTTCTCGGCGCTGTGGGTGGTGCGAAAAGAGCTGGGGTGCTGGGGATGGGGCACACGTGGAGAGAGGAGGGCGGCCCAGGGCCCCGAAGAGGGTTGTATGGAAAGAGGCCATGGAGAAGGCAGGACTGGAGACATGAGGGACACACCCCCATGGGGAGGAGGACAAGCAGTGGCTGGAGGACCTGACGGAGGAGTCCGCTTGGGGAGGCTCCCAAGGGAGGCTGCAAAGCCTCTGACCCGACGGCCTCTCCTCCCAGTGCCGTGTGGAGGCAACCTCACTGAGCGCAGGGGCACCATCCTGTCCCCTGGCTTCCCGGAGCCATACCTCAACAGCCTCAACTGTGTGTGGAAGATCGTGGTCCCTGAAGGTGCTGGCATCCAGGTAAGGGCAAGGAGATGCCTTGGTCGGGCAGGTGGCCGCCTGCTCACAGGTAACTGCTCACAGGTGGCCAACCGCAGGTGCTGACTGTTACCAAGGCCTGAGCCAGGAGGAGACATATCAGCCCTGTCCCTGCCCCTGCAGCTAAGGATGCTTAGTCCCAGTGTGGAAATGTGGCACCACACAGAAAACACAGCAGCTCCCAGGCCCCAAGAGCTTCAGAGGCATGCAGCGGGAGTCAGATGGTGCAGGAAGGAGGAGAGGTGGGCATTGGCCCTGGCCAGGAGCAGAGACTAAAAGAAGGAATGGGGCTGGAGCTGGAATCTGAAGTGTGGGGAGGATTCATAGAAGTTGTTTCTCTAATGGCTACAGATTTTCTTAAGATTGTGAGGGTTAGAAGGGGAGGCATTGCTGATGAGAACAAAGAGCAAACCACCCAGCGCAGCTGAAGCACAGAGAACCCCCAGGCACACACCTAGGGAACCACGCATAGCCTGAGCCGTAGAGGCTGAACTGGGGGCATAACTGGTGCCAGAGCTAAGAGCCAGGCAAAAGGAGGCCCCAGCATTGGTGCTAAGGCAGGGAAGAGGGTCAGGAGCCTGCAAGGCCAGCAGAGAGGCAGCAACTGGGACTCCAGCAGACAGATCCAGGCAGGAGTGAGTTACAGGCTCATTGCTGCAGGACATCTGATGCGATCAAGGCAGGAAAGTAGGGAAATCCAAGGAATGTTCCAGAGATGAGGAGAAGGCCAGTCAGACTATCTCCCCACTTCCTGGAATTTCTTTTCCCCATTCTCTGCCTTGCAAAGTATCCCACTATCTTCTAATCATTTTTTTCATGTCTGTCTTCCCCACTGGACAAGGAGCTCTAGGAGTGAGGGCTGCATCTTACTTTTACTGGAAGGGCTAGCACCATGTTAGGCCCAGAGTAGAGTCTCAACAAATTGAATTAACTATGGGAAGGACAGAAAGGGAAAGCAGAGAAGGATGGAGGGACACAGGCTGCCTAACCAACAACTCAATCTTCTGCCTTCACAGATCCAAGTCATCAGTTTCGTCACAGAGCAGAACTGGGACTCCCTGGAAGTGTTTGATGGTGCTGATAACACAGTAACCATGCTGGGAAGTTTTTCAGGTAAGCTGGGTTTTCAGGGGCTTCAATTTCGAAGGTAGTGCTAGAATTCATCATCATAAACATTGTTATCATCATTACTATTGAGGTATAATTCATATTCCATGAAATTCACCATTTTCAAGTGGACGTGTCATGGTTTTCAGTAGATTAGAAAGGTCCTACAACCATCACTACTATCTAATCCCAGAATATTTAGACCACCCCAAAATAAACAAGGTACCCATTTGTACTCCCCTCCCCAGCCCACCCTTAACCTCTAGTAACCAGTAATCTACTTTCTATCTCTATGGATTTGCCTATTCTGGGCATTTCATATAAATGGACACCTTCTGTGTTTGGCTTCTTTCACTTAACATGATGTTTTCCAAGGTCACCAAGTCACAGTATGGATCAGCACTTCGTTGTAAGGACAGAGCATATTTTCTGTGTCTATTCATCAGTCAGTGACTTGTTTCCACTTTTGTGCTGTTATGAATAATGCTCATGCATAAGTCTTTGTGTAAAAACATGTTGTCACTTCTCTTATATACCTAGGAATGGAATTGCTGAGTCATATGGGAACTCTGTGTTTAACATTTGGAGGAACTTTCTGTTTTCCAAAGTGGCAACACCATTTTGCCCTTCTAGTAATGGACTTCTGACTGAGTGTGGTGTATAGCTATGCCCAGTGGCCAGGGTAATGATCTAATCTTTTAGGCCTAGAACTCTAGTCAGCCAAGAGATAAAGAGGAGTCGCATGCTTCAGATAAACTGTCCGCACTGCAGGACTGCCCAGAGAATGATACAGGTCAGAGTTACCCTGAAGATGGCTAGGAGGAGATCCAACTCATAGCTCACCCTCCTGCGAGCACAAGGCTCTGCCACTGCTCATCTTACAAGAAGCCGATTGGCATTTCCTCTCCCTCAACCATTGGAGACCTAGCCCTCTGAGGGGTGCTAATCTGTCATTTAGTGAGTTTCATAATTGGGGACATCTGGGGGCCTTGGTAGCAGAATGTTAGCAGGTAGCAAAATCCAAAGGAATGGGGAAGACTGCAAGGGCTTGGAGGAGCCAAACTTAACCCCTGGTGTCCTTGCCATAGGAACAACCGTGCCTGCCCTTCTGAACAGCACCTCCAACCAGCTCTACCTTCATTTCTACTCAGATATCAGCGTGTCTGCAGCTGGCTTCCACTTGGAGTACAAAAGTGAGAATCCGGGGTCTTGGCTGTGTACAGGGTTCAAGGTGGGACCTAACAGCGAGTCCCTTCTGAGCAAGGGTTATATTGGAGCTGCATATTGTCCATCCCAATTAAGCCTTCCCACAAGCCTGGGTGAGGATGCTAAAGCCCAGAGAAGGTCTGGAACCTCCTCAAGGCTGAGTTCTCATCCAAGTGTTTGTTATTTAAAAACCTATATGCCTGCTCAGTATCCACACCAGGAATGGAAAGGGGACTTGTGTTGGCCGAGATCCCAGAAAATAATTGGGGTGTAAGAAAATTGTGCTTTCCTCCCCCAGTTCTAAAACCTGGCCTCTCTAACTCCTAGTTCTATGATGTGATTATTTTTGAAGTTCCTCCCCTCATTGGATCCCTCATTCATTGTTTACAGATTTCCCACTGCAAGCTCAAACCCTTACATCCTGGCTTCTGGCATCCCTAAGTGGTCACTACTAAATACTCTAAACAGAAAAAGATTTGTGGATGTGCCTTCTGGGGAACAAAGAAAGAGGTTTCTAGGGAAACTGGCTGTATACTAGGACAGCCCGCCCCACCCCCTTTCTCCACTGGGTACAGGAAGGAATAGATAGGCAGCAGCATTTGTTACACTACTATTCAGCAAAGACTTATTGAGCATTTACAGCATGCCAGGTGCTGTGCTGGGTTTTGCCAGGATTGGGAAAGATTAAGATGGGTTGGGGTTGGAGACAGGTAGACACGTAGACAAAGAAGTGCATGACAGCATTACAGGTACTCTCATCGATGGTTCTAGATGGTAGAGAAGTGATTCAAGGGAGAGAATGGTCAATTCTGTGGGCGGGTAGAGATGCAAATGTCATGAAGAAACGTTGAGCACCTGCAATGAGCCATGCCCTGTGTTAGGTCCCCACAGAACAAAGGTGAATAAGACAAGGCCCCTCCCTTCAAAAGCACAACATCTAGAGGGAGAGATGGACATGGACATGGTCATTTTAGTGAAACCTGAGATGCTAAGAAAGTGCAAAGGGAAGGAGCTAAAGTCAGCCAGGTAAGGCTTTGCAGAAGAGGGTGCCTGAGTTAGGTTTGGAATGAGAAGTGAAAAATGCGGGAAGGCATGGTGGGCTTGACCATCTGTGACAGCATGAGCCTGTGCAGAAGGAAGATCCACTTGGTGCTAGATGCCTGATTGGGTCAGAACTGTACATTATACACATGCCCATCTGGGTTGTGAAAAAAAAATGAACTTTAGTCAGCTGCTTTGGAAAGAATTAAATGGATTCCAGGATGCTTATCACCTGAAAGAACTGAAGCATGCACCTGGAAAACAAAAAAAAACAGGAAGACCCAGGACAACTAGAAGCAGACCCTACAGGGTACAGGGTTGGACAGGGACCTCTGAGACTCCTCCCAGCAGATGTCTAAGGCTTCACCATCCTGGTGGAGTGAAACATCCTGGGTTTCTTGACTAAATCACATTTTTTCCTTTTACCCCTTCTTCTCTGTTCTCTCCAGTTTTGTTTCTCTAACCAGTGGTTTGAGTTCTTAAATCTTCCCTAGAATCTTCTCTGTTCTTCCTCCTTCCAAAGACACGTATTCTTCCTACAGGACTTTGCCCTTCTACTGCCTCGTTCCCAGGCAAAATCCACCTCTTCTCAATTTTCTTTGCCCAAGGAAACTGGAAGTTTTTTCAGTAGCTACCGTTTCATGTGTTGTCCCCACCTTATGGGAAGAGCTAGGGGAAAAAGAGCTTTCCGTTGGTATTTGGAGACTGGAATTCCTAAGAGCCAGGGCCCTGTAGTTATATTTTATTTTGCAGAATAATCCATAAAGAACTCACAGACGATAGAGAATTAACTGCTATTGTAGAGGCAAATGGCTTTGAAGGGTACTGAAAAGTCGTATCCACTGCTATGATTCATAATTAACGTTTATTGAATTTAAATGGAAATGGAGCAATATGCTTTCAAAAGTAATAAATTACATATGATAAAAAAATAATTTTTTCTTTGTTGTAATCATGGCTTAAATAAAAGTCTGTGCAGCATAAGAGAAATTAGAATGGATTTTTCTATATGTCCCTCTGTTCTTCTCTTTGGCCTCGTCTTTCTCCCATTCCATTTTTCTTCCTACAACGCTTTTTGTTCTCATTCTGCTCTTCTTCTGTCCACCACTGGACAGGGCTTTCCAGTAAGTAGATCTTCTTACTTGCGACCACCCCACTAGATAGTCAGTTTTGTTCTACTTGCAGTGTGGAGAGGAAGGGGGAGAAATAGACAAGATGACAGATGACGCTCTTGAAATTCAGTTTGATGGTTTTTTTTAATGCTTGTCCTTGGGGTCTTTTGTCTCAGCTGCTAGAATTTTTGGATAAGGCTCAAAGAGCTCTCATTTCCAGATATCACACTTACATCTTAAAAGCACATGTAGGGCAGGAATTCCCTGGGAAGAGTGTGAAGGAATTTCCAGAGTGATAGCAACATTCTGTGGTTCTGGCAGATGTTTGGGTTATAAAGGTACAGACATTTGCCAAAACTCAGCACATGTACGCTCAAGATTACAATGTTTACTTGATTATGCATAATTTGTGCATATTGTTATATGTGACTTTCCCTCAGAAGAAAAAAAGCACAGGTAGTTATCAGAGTTTCATCTTTGAATGTGGCTTGAGGACTCATCAGCTGCCTCATGGGAGATGGGCTGGTGGCTAGTGGTCTAGGCTGACTGGTCCTTCCCTGTTTTTTTTTCCATAAGCCCCCCAGCTGCCTGCAGGCACTGGGTACATGTGGGATCCTTAGGGAGCCTGCATCCCCCAAGGGAGCCTCCAGAAGGGCCAAGGCTGCTATCTCCCATGCTGTCTGGGCCATGCCACCCAGATACACAGTCTGCCATCCTCCCCGTTCTGCCACCTTGGTGAAGAAAACCACTTTAGAGTTGGTGGAGAATTCAGTTTACAGCTACCTCTCTGCCTCCTCCTAAGTCTTCTGGCCCTTGCCTCTGGAGAAGTGCCCTCCAGATCCAGTCCTGCAAGACACAGAAACGTATTAGTGCATCTGAAGTGCCTGCACCTATACATGGAGTCCTGCAGGGCACAGGAGAGGCAGAAAGCCCCCTGCTGGGAAATGCTACATTCCCATTTGCTATATGGAAGGCAGCCAGGGAGGGATTCAAAGCAGGATGAGGACGATTTTAGGAGGGGAGGCAAGGAGAGCAGGGGATAGAGTCAGATAGGAGCTCATCTGGCCTCAGGGCTTAGGCTCCACTTGGCAGACCTAGGGTCAGACTGGACTTGGTCTGAATCCTGGGTCTGTGGCTGACTAAGGATATGTTTCAGGGCCTCCCTTGGCCTGGGTCCTTATCTGTGAAATGGGATGTGAAGACCTGCTTGAAGGGTATGAGGGTATGCCCACACCCACGAGCCCCAACCTTGCTCGTGGGAAGTGCTCAGTGAGTGCTTCTCTTGGGATGATGGTATGGACAGGCAGAAAGGAGGAGGAGGAAGATTAAGCTGGATGTCCAGCAAAACATTATATGCAATTCCAGGCATGTCATGAGGAATACATGGACACAGGTTGAATTCAAAAAGTCAAAAAAAAAGAGCGCATTTGAGATCCTGTGGGGGTGATCTTGAAAGGGGACCAGGCCAAGGTCATGAAAGTCCTTAGAACAGGATGAGAAAGTTGGATTCCATATGATAGGCCATGAGGACCTTCTTCAAATCACTGAGCAAAGAAGTCCCATGATTCAAGGAGAGATTTTAAGCCACACAAGTTGCCTGCGAATGCAGGGCAGACTGGACTAGCAGTGGCTTGGGTTATAAGTAGGGAATGAGGGAGAGCTTTAGTGGGGCTGGTGCTGAGTGAGGTGAAGTGTGAGAGGCCACCAGTGCTGCTCCTGGAAAGGGGCTGGCCTGACCTTGAAAACACAACAGGAGGGAGAAGGCTGTGGAGAGTTTTATCTGCTGGCAAACTTTTCTCAGAGTCTTGGAAAGTCAGACTTTAACTGAGCTCCTGAGCATCGCTGAGATGTCCCTCCCTGCTCTCCTTCCTTCTTGCCTCTCTCTCTCTCTCTCTCTCTCTCTCTCTCTCTCTCTCTCTCTCTCTCTCTCTCTCTCCTCTCTCTCTCTCTCTCTCTCTCTCTCTCTCTCTCGCGTCTCTCTCTCTCTCTCTCTCTCTGTGTGTGTGTGTGTGTGTCTCCTCTCCCTCTCTCTCTCTCCCCAGGGAGCTCTCTCTCTTTTAGCCCCTCCCTCTTAGCCCACAGGGTCTGTCTCCTTAGGATAAGGAAGACAGAGGGGAGTTAAAAGTAGAAAGTAGGAGGGATGTGGGAGGGGTCCATGCAGAGAAATCTCCTTAGCTAAGCTCCCTAGCTAAGAACTCAGTGGGTGGACAGGACAGCCAGCATCCCCTGGGATCCCTCCTTCCCCAAGGGGCTTTGATCTGTTGAACCTCTCTGCTGTGTAAATACTCTGTTTTTCTCTGTGTGCTGTAAGGTGAAGAGAGTTGGGAAGAACTAGCCTACAGGATGAGCAAAAGCACAAATTAGAGGCACCCCTGCTCCCTGCCACCAGCATCGCCCCAGCCTACCACCGCATTGACCTGCTGGGCTAGCCCATTCTCCTTTCCTTCTGTCTCTGTCTTGTCTAGCGGTGGGCCTGAGCAGTTGTCCTGAACCTGCTGTGCCCAGTAATGGGGTGAAGACTGGCGAGCGCTACTTGGTGAATGATGTGGTCTCTTTCCAGTGTGAGCCGGGATATGCCCTCCAGGTACCTCCCCTGACACCCTAGAGCAGGAAACCGGTATCCCCTGAGATGTGGTTGGCCCACCTTGCACCAGCAGAGCTATAGTCACCGAAGAACAGGGAGCAGCCCTCAGGTCCCCCAGGTACCATTATCCTCTCCTGGAGCTGTTCATGCAAAAGACAAACTCTGCTGACTTTAACAATTTGGCACAAGCCAGCCTCCAATGTGTTCCTGCAAAGTTGGGTTTGATTCGGCTTTAGGGAAATTTAATTTCCCTTTGAAGGCCATCAGGGAATTTAGTAATTAAAGGAATCTCACAAGGAAACTTCTAGTAATGAGAATTCTTTAGTAATGGTTGTTAATAATTGTCCTTCCCCAAATTCTCTCTCCCTCTGCCTTACTCCCATCCCACAGTGGATCTGTGTGTCTTTGTGTACCTTGTTCCTTAACATAAGGCCCCTGACCCAGACCCCTGTATGGCCCCTGGTTGTACATAGAATTGTGCCCATGGGGACAGCTAGCCCACCCCTGTTCCTGATTCCTCCAGGGCCACGCCCACATCTCCTGCATGCCTGGAACCGTGCGGCGATGGAACTACCCTCCTCCACTCTGTATTGGTAAGAGAGCCCAGACTTTACAACTCATTCCAACCCATTTTCTCCCAGGGATCCTAGCTCAGTGGTGTACCATCAAGTTCAAGTTCAAATCAGAAGAACGTTTGATATTCTGGGTTTGTTCCAAGTCAGCAGTTTTAAACTGATGTTTTCATAATCTCAAACTCCCACTTAACACTGTCATGACTTTTGGAAACCTCTGCCCCACCAAATGAAAAGGTACAGGAGGTTTGCCCATTTGAAAACATGATGATGACCGGTCTGACTCCAGATTATCAATGGAGTCAGATGGAATTTCCAGGATGGAATTTCTAGGCACTTTGGGCTTCCCCCTGTGACTTCTTGTGGGACAAACAGACAAATCTAATAAAGAAATGCTGAGGGTGGCCTGGTGCAGGGGCTCATGCCTGTAATCCCAGCACTTTGGGAGGCTGAGGTGGGTGGATCACTTGAGGTCAGGGGTTCAAGACCAGCCTGGCTAACATGGTAAAACCCCATCTCTACTAAAAATACAAAAATTGGGCAGATGTGGTGGCACACACCTGTAATTTCAGCTACTTGGGAGGCTGAGGCAGGAGAATCACTTGAACCTGGGAGGCGGAAGTTGCAGTGAGCTGAGATTGCACCCCAGCCTGGGTGACAGAGCAAAAAACGAAAAAGAAAAAAAGAAAGAAATGCTGAGAGTTATGTGTGAAACAAGGATTTGGCTTCATTCCTTACCCTGCGCTACAGCAGTGATGGGCAGACACAAGAAAAGACAGCATCTCCCCATCAGAAGCTTCTGGTCCAGTTAGGCAAGGAAGAAAAGCATATTTATTTAGTATCTACTAAATGCTAGGCACGGAGCTTCATATTTCTTCAGATTTCTTCAGCCCTTCAGGGGAGGTTTTATTACCCTCAGTTTGCAAACAGGAACTCCCAGTCTTTTAGGATTAAAAAGGAAGTGGCAGAGTCAGGAATGGAAACCTTAGGTTCTCTGGTGCCCAGTAGACTGTGAAGTGCTCCTCAAGGCTGACCTAGGGGTAGGAAGTGCATGGAGTTGAGGGAGTGACACTCAGGCACACTGGCATTTCTCTTCTGTGGTTTCACCAGGGCATAGGGCCTAGGCATATGTGGAGCAGGTCAGAAATGTGAATGGTTAACCCAGGACATTTTCCCCGTTAGAGACTACAAAGACCTTGCCAAGGAAACAATTCATTTAACGGCAGCTGCTGTTCATTAGGGGTTTTCTACATGTGCCAGCCTTGTCCCAAGTAAAATGCAGCCCCTTCTGCTGTGACCTCATAACAACCCCATTAGACAGTCACTAGCTCCATTTTACACTTGTGGGAAACCAAGTTCTGGAGGGTTTCGAACTTGCCCATGGTCCCAGCAGAAATGAAGGTGGGATTGTGACCCAGGCAGTCAAGGCTGGAGCCCACTCTGCACTGTTTTTGGGTCTGTTTGCCAAGCTGCCCTGTCCCCAGAAAGCACTTGCCTGGACCTGCCAATCCCTCTTCTGCGATCCTTTCTCTGGGTCTCTAAAACAGGCTAGCCCCTTTCTGTTCACAAAACCTTTCCTCATAAGATACAAAAGAAAAGAAATGATGTCGACTGACCAGACTGCAGGGGTGCCCCAGCCCCTCATCCTCAAATGACTCTGAACTAAGCCCTTGGGTCACTGCTTGGTGGTTGGCTCCTGTGGAATGCTGATCACAGTCACTTTTCTGAGGGTGGGCTCATGGTGAGCCTCCCCTGCTGGCCACTCTGCCCTCTGGAATATATATTTGAGAAGAGCCTGGCATGGTACCGGGCATAGGGTGGGGACATGATGTATGCCAGTCCCCTTCCTTCATCCTTTCTCTGCAGTCTTGAAAGAGTGGATTGGGCAGTGAGGAGAGGGAGATTTGGGGGATGGGGTAAGAAATGGTCAGACTTCTTCTGGCACAGAACTTTCACTTTTCCTGCACATCATCACCAGGGAACTGACCTGTGAAGGGCATGCTCAAGGTCAAGAGTCCATAACTTAGGTTTGTGGACTTTAGTTTCTCCTGGAATACATCCGCCTGCCTGAATGTACATACTGAATGTTGCCCATGGACATAGCCTTTTAAGAAGATTCCTTTGGATTCTCAAGGGGCTTTATGACTCATGAAAGCTTAAAAACTGCTGCTTGAAGGGAGCTTCCAAACATTGGCAGGGCCCTGTATGCCCCTTGATGTTGTTCTGACCCCCTGTCTCATCTTACTGTCACAGCACAGTGTGGGGGAACAGTGGAAGAGATGGAGGGGGTGATCCTGAGCCCCGGCTTCCCAGGCAACTACCCCAGTAACATGGACTGCTCCTGGAAAATAGCACTGCCTGTGGGCTTTGGTAAGTCTCTACAACCCCCAGAGGAGACAGGCTTTATGCCCAGGCCCCTAAGCTTAAAACCACTGTCCAGCTGGGCATGATGGCTCATGCCTATAATCCCAGCACTTTGGGAGACCAAGGTGGGCAGATCACGAGGTCAGGAGTTCGAGACCAACCTGGCCAACATGGTGAAACCCCACCTATACTAAAAATACAAAAGAATTAGCTGGGTGTAGTGGTGAATGCCCATAATCCCAGCTACTGGGGAGGCTGAGGCAGAAGAATCACTTGAACCTGGGAGGCAGAGTTTACAGTGAGCCGAGATCGTGCCACTGCACTCCAGTCTGGGTGACAGAGTGAGACTTGGTCTCAAAAAGAAAAAAAAAACTGCTGTCCACCAAAATCTCCAGCACAACTTTGAGCCAAGTCTGTTTAGCACTCTGCCTCTCTATTTTCTCATCTGTTGACCTCTTATACAATTGTGAAGACCAATGGCAGAGATGAACAAACACATAGGGGTAGAAAAATCTTAGGGGGTGCCATTATTATTACTTGAGACATAAACTAAAATCCAGGACTGTTATTGAGAAATCACTCAGGTTATACCTAACACTGTATCACTTGATATTAAAAATTAAAAATAAATTACTCAGGGATGGGTTTTTTTAAAAAGGGGAAAAATCTGTCTTACAGAGAGAGATTGGACCTCAAGTTGTACTTTTAATCTGATGTCTGATTTATCATCCTAATTAAATTAAGCCAAGGTCAGTGTGAAATCGAGTTTGTATTCTTCATATGCACCTTCCAGCTGGCCTAGGTATTGGGAAGGTTTTTGGTTTTGTTGTTGTTGTTTGGGTGGGGGTGCTGGATTATGCCAGGCATGGGAGGTTGTCAGGGTGTGGAGGACATCAGTGTGGATACAAAATTTAATTGCTGGTGATCCGGGTATTATGCACTGGGAATATCATTTAACCCCAACGTCTCTGTTGACGGGATGAGGGTTTTGTGCTTACATGGAACTGATGGGCTGTACACATGGGTCGTCTTGCCTAAGCCATTGCACTGCTTCTGGGAATGAAATGTCCCAAGACGATTATGCCCACACAGCCCTGAATGCCAGTCTGTGAGCCTCAGAAATGAAGATCACCCATTTCATCCTGGAGTGTGATTAGAGGTTAGAGAAGGGACCTTTGGGAGAAAGCAGTCTAACTGGCCTTCTCTAAATCTGGTTGGAGTGGAGGAGAGAGCCTGGTGACCCTCTGAAAGATGTTATTTTCTGTTTAGTACTATCTTCTGAAGGAAACGGGGTGCAAAGCAATGACACCCTCGGCAGCCTTAGGAGACTCCAGACTTTGAGACATTAAGAGGATCTTGGAGACCCTATACCTCTGCATCCAGTCTTGGGGCAGAACCCAGATGATAGAAGATGGGGAGGGCAACATCCAAAGGCAAACAGAAATTTAAATGAGGTGGCTTTCCCTGTAAGTCCTTATGGTCAGCCACCATTTTCATCTCTAAGTTCTGGGTGCTAATTCAGGCTGCAGGGAAGAAACCTACTGCTGGGTCCAGTCACAGAGGCCCCAGATCCCTTGCTTTCAAGTTAATGTTGGATTAGGCCAAGGTTCCTAAGGCACCTGGTCTCAGCGTGTAAAGAGCTGCTGCAGCTACATGCTGCTCCACTAGATGGCAATGACAGTCCAGTTCTTTCTGCAGGGCTCAAGTCAGAAATTCTGCCATCCTTAAAGAGCCCCTTCTGTGGGCATGCACCTGGCAGTGCTCCTGTATAAGGGGATGATGCATGGGCAGTGGAATGGAAGGCACAGATTCCTCAGATAATGTGTGCAAAGATGCTCATCACAGAATTATCTGCAACTTGGAAGCAATCTGCATGTTCATTAGTAGGGGCGTGAACTGCGTGGTTGGATAATTCATAAAATGGAATTAATTAACATGCCGTTAAAATGAATGAACTAAACTTTTGTATATCAACACGGATAGACCTTGAAAACCACAATATTATGTAAATAAAGAATGTAGGTACAGTATAATATCATTTATGCAAATGTTTAAAACGCATAAACCCAGATACATATTTAAGAATCCAAAACAATGAACTGGAAGGATATCTTCCAAATTCATGTGTTTGCTTCTGTGGAGGGAAGGAGGGGAATGGAACAGGGCAGGAAATGAAAGGTCTTCAACGTTAAATGTTGAGTCATTTTATTCTTTAAGTGATCAGATGCAAAAAAAAATAGACTAATGTGCTTATTCTGAGCTAATTAGATAATACAGATGAGCAAATTTTAACAATGAAAATCCATCTATAATCTCATCATGCAGCAATAATCAGTAATGGCTTAGTCCTCCATCATTACCACATAAGCCTCACGAAGACAAGGACCTTCTCGGTCTTGCTCATCATGTACAATGCCTAGCACAGCCCCGATGTCCAGCAAATGCCCAGGAAATATTCTTAGCAAATTAATATTCTTCTGCATTTTATAATACAAGAATTAGAATTATATCCAGAATACTATTTTGTCGTCTGATTTTTATGATTAGCAATGTAGCACGGGCCTTTTCCTATGCTCAGTAAATACATTTCTTCAACAACATTTTCCATAGTGATTTTATTTGGAAAAGTCTTATCAGTAAACAAACATCAATGTTTCCAGGTTCGTTCTTGGAAGAGTATATTAATACATACATTAAGAACTTAATTAGATGTATTTAACCTGTCAGGTCACTAAAAGGTCTTGATTAACTCACTAAGATCCTAAAGTGTAAACTTCGTTTGACTTCTTTATGGAACTGAGGGGACAGTGTATACTTCTAAGCCTTAGAAGATTATCATAAGAGCTCTAGAAAACAGCAGTATAGAAGATCATGTCTTTTGATTAAGTATGGCCAGTGTTGTTTTTAAATAAAAAGTTTATTCTAGCAAAACTATATGCTGATATTGGACATATGAATCATAAATTAGAACAAATGTTGACCCTGAACTTTGTTTTCAGTAAAATAAAATGAACTCCAGTAGAGCTCTGAAATGACTGATACCTTTATTTTTGAATGAATAATGCACGTTTAAGTTCAGCCCTGTCAAAGATGAGAGACTTGGCTGGACTGGCAATTCTCAAAGCCTGTTCTGGAAGCCTTGGCTGGGTGGGAAATCAGTAGCAGGGACTCACAGCTCTGGCAGGAGATGCTTTCATGAGGCAGCACACTTGAGGCAGGACTATGTTGCTTTGGGCACTGTCTGCCTCTGTCTTGCTCCCAGGAGCTCACATCCAGTTCCTGAACTTCTCCACCGAGCCCAACCACGACTTCATAGAAATCCGGAATGGCCCCTATGAGACCAGCCGCATGATGGGAAGATTCAGTGGAAGCGAGCTTCCGAGCTCCCTCCTCTCCACGTCCCATGAAACCACCGTGTATTTCCACAGCGACCACTCCCAGAACCGGCCAGGATTCAAGCTGGAGTATCAGGGTAAGGACAAGGAGCACGGCATTTGCTTCTCTTTCTATCCCCATCTTTTGTCCCAACCACCCACCTTCCCAGCCTTCCATGTGTGGGAAAGACAGAACACCGGAAGAGGTGAGTTGGGTGGCAGGCCCAGCCAGGGAAGCTTCCTTTTGGTGGCAAATCTCTCCAGCCCCCAAGGCCATCTAACCCCATTTGGTAGTTTAAGTTCTCCCACAGCCTTTTCAACAGTGGCAGGCCCAACAACACCCTCTGAGGCTCCCACTCTGTACAGCTTTCCCTGGGCAAGTGGCCCATCTGTGCCTTCTCAGGCATCCCCAGGTGTCCAGTGGTCATGCCCCCCCAGGCTTAATAAGCTGAATTACTTCCCTAGGGTCCTTCCTGCATGTCAAGCCCAATTACTCTCAACAAAGCTCTTCCTATGACAGGATGGAGGATTCTAGTAACAGTCCCAAGCGTACCTCTAAGCCTTGCATAAGAGGCAGGTTTTCCTGTGAGGCCCAACCACACTCACCACAGCGCTACCTCCCTGAGGTGGAATTCCATGACAGGCCCCACTCCTTCTGGGACATTCCCTGGGAAGAGCCCCATCTGCACTCAGGTTCCCCTGTGTCATGGGCTATCTGTCATCTGTGGATGTGGAGATTGTGCCCAACCTATGCAGCTGTACATGGTGTTCCGGAGTAAGCCCAACTTCTCCCTTGGATGCTTCCCTTATTGTGACTGACTGAAGCATTTGTTCTAACCCCTTCCCCAGATTCTTCTACTGAATTTTTAAAAATATTTTTAGATTTTTTTCCCAATATTAATTCATGTTTATGAAAAAATAATCTAAACACTATAGATAATTTTGTTAGCATATTTTTAGCTCTGGCTGCTGTAACGAAATGCCATAAGCCAAGTGGCTTATAAACAGAAATTTATTTCTCACAGTTCTGAGGGCTGGGAAGTCCAAGATCACAATGCCAGCAGACTCCATGTCTGGTGAGGGCCCACTTTCTCATTCATAGAGAGCATCTTCTCACTGCATGAAGATACGCTGTCATTCATAGACAGCATGTCCTCACGTGGTGGAAAAGGGCAAAGGAGCTCTCAGGCCTCATTTATAAGGGAACTAATCCTATTTATGAGGGTGGGCCACCAAAAGCCCTGCCTCCAAATACCCTCACGTTGAGGATTAGGTTTTAACATAGAAATATTTAGGCCCTAACACCTATCATAGAAAGTCGAAATTCTCCCATAATCCCACCCTATCACTACCCTATGCAAAGACACACAATTCAATATATATTTCAACAATTCAATATATATTCACCCATTTTTCAGTATATACATTGCTATAGCTATATTTTTAGCCAAAAGTGGATCATACTAGAGTTTTGCAATTTTGTTTTGTAAAGTTTTTAATTACACAAACAATTTCTAAACATATTTATCTTGTTTTAAAAAAGAAAAGAAATAAATTAAAACCTTACAAGTAAGGCCAAAGCTGTCTTTGTAGCCTCCAAACCCAGGATTATTCTCCAGAAACAGCGGCTATTGTTTAGGTGTGACCTTTCCAGGCCTGGATATAGATATGCTACATGTACCTGTGAAAAATATGTAACATTTTATACAATTTTTTGGCCATGTGTTTATGTAAATAGTACCATCCTTTATGCAGCTTTCTGAGACTTGACTTCTTCATGCTGGAAATAATGTGGTACAGATGGAGCTCCTTCCTTGCCAGAGAAGAATACTGATGGGGGACTGGGCTTATCATTTAGGGAAAGCCCTAAAGGGCATCCACGAGGTGGGTGCAATTGAATCAGTTCTGCAGGAGACTTCAGGCTTCTGGGGTCTGTCTCAGGGAAAAGTTTGGTGATTGTGGCTGGGCTTGTCACCTAGAGGGAGCCTCACGAGAAGGTAGGCCGTGCACCCAGGCAGAGCCACTTCACTGGAGTTAGCACAGCTGACACAACCAGGGAAGCTGTGTCCAGGTTCATCACAGAGGCCAGCCTCGCCCAAGGATGTCTGTGCCTATCATTTTGGAGGTGTGTACCTGTCAAACAGGCCATGATGTCACAGGAGGGACTTGGTCCCAAATATGTCCTCCCAGAGACAGATGCAATGCCTTCCTCCAAAGCTTTCCTGCATCTTAGTTTGTCAGGGCTGCCATAAGAAAGCTGGGTGACTAAAACAACAGAAAATTACTGTCCAAAGGCTCTGGGGCTCGAAGTTCAAGATCAAGGTGTCAGCAGAGTTGGTTCCTTCTTAGGCCCGTGAGGGAGACTCTGTCCAGGCCCTTCCTGGCTTCTGATGGCTCGTGGCAATCTTGGCATTTCCCAGCTCTTACAAGTATCACCCTGACCTCTGGCTTCATCTTCACATGGTACTCTTCCTGTGCCTCTGTCTCCAAATCCCCACTTTCTATAAAGACACCAGTCTTATTGGATCAGAGCCCGCCCTAGTGACCTCATTTTAATTTCCATAAGTTTGGTAAAGATCCTATCTATTTCCAATAAGGTCATATTCACAAGGAGTGGAGAAGTCTTGAGCATATGAATTTTGGGAGACACATTTCAGCCCCTCGCACCCTTGCCAAGCCCAAGTGCTCTCTCCCTGAGAACTTCACTCTCTATAAACATAAGGAATGGTGATGCCACCATTGTGCCAGCGACAGCTGCCCTGGTCCCATGCCATGCACGGTGCCTTCACCTGAGACAACAGGCACAGCCATGCCGCTGAGTACCTGTGATGCGACCAGCCACTCACTGTGCTCCCCATGTGACGAGCCCACTTGTCCTTGTAAAGGTTGTCCCTGTGTGGCCATGTCAGATTCTCCATTGACTCCCCCAACAGAAAAGGCCTAACTACCCGCTCAGAGGCCTGGCCTTGGGCTCATTCTCCCTGCTCTCCCAGCTCCCACCTTTGGAAATGCCCCCACTCCAGCCACCCTGCACAAGGGGCCCAGCTGTCCCCCTAAGGCTTCCCAGACAACAAGCCAATGTTCTGGGCTAGTGTCCCTGCCTGGGATGGGCCTGTCTTTCCTGCTGAGACCTCACAGCCTCCAGAGGCCCAGTGTTCCTCTGAGGACTTTCCCTATTTAAGGAGGCCAGGAGGCAGTGAGTTGCCTTCAGACACCCAGCTCCTCCACCAGGAGTTGGCCCAACGTGTAAGAGGCACGGCTACATCCAGCAGGGCTTCCACCCTGTAATGGGCCCCTCCTCCCACAAGCATGTGACCTTCAGGACTTGCCTGGATGTTCCCCTTCAATCCAGGCCCAGCTACTCACTCAGTGTTCACCCGTCTGCCATAGTCCCAAGGACTCTGGTGGAGCCACACGTGGCACCAGGGCACCTGCTCCTCTTAGACTTGGCCTCCACTTCTATTAAGGCTTCATGTTTGGGGCAATCCCAACCTCTCGGGCTAGACTGTCTCTGGGGCCAGAGGCCTAAGTACTCCCACAGAGACCTCATCATTTGTGATAGGCCCCAGTTATTCTCCCTGACCGTAAACCCACACTCTCCATTTACACCTTCCTCTGCCCTATGGAGCTGACCTTGTAAGCAAGCTCTGACCACTCTCCCCTGGTTTATCCTCTGGGGAAAGACCCAGCTTCATAAACGAGCCGTTTGTCCCCACTGAGGCTGTTACTGTCAGACAGACCCAGCTCTCCATGGCCCCTCGACTTTCCTTAGAAGTCCAACGCTTTACTCTTTCTCAAAATTCCTCCAGCTGACACTCTGCACTTCCTGTGCTAGGGTCTTCCTTTCTGTCTTCCAGTAAAGATTCCCATCAAGTTGTTAGTGGCAGCATAGAGAGCTCCTAGCCAGGCCTCCCGGTCTGACATGCTCAATGTGTTCCAGCACAGGTTCTCACGAGTGTTCTATTTATAAAGAATTTAGCAAAATGACCAAGACATAAGATTGTCCCCCAAATGCTAGGCATCATCATTATTAATGTTTTCATATAATGGCATTTTGGTTAGAATTGTGCCTACCTGATTATGGCACTCTGTTTGGAAGTGTGTTCCCACTGTCACCAGGTGTGCCCCTTTAGAATAGACCCATCTGATCCCCCGAGGGGTCCTTCTTTGGGGAAGTTCATGCTTCCTCCTCTTAGGGTTTATTTCTGCCTTATATGCCCAGCCTATCCCTTTGAAGCTTCTTCCAGGGGAACAGGATCTGAGGTTTTTCCCAGTGTCAAGGTACTCTTACTGAGAGGAGAGGTACTCTCACTGAAGTGTCTTTTTGAAGAGCCCAGATCCTTGCACAGGAAATGATTCTTGTAGGAGAGGCCCAGCTGCTCTCATCAAGGCTGTTCCTGGCTTCTCACACACCGTCATGCCCTTCATTCTCTCCTCATCTCTGGGTCCATATGGTTACCCTGGGCCTTTCTTTAAAAACCCAGCCCATCCCATTTGGTTGCCTCCCGGGGCAAAAGGCCCCCCGCTTCTGCTAAGACTTTCACTGCCAAATGGCCCAAACCCCCATGACACAGGGCCAGGCCTGTCCTGGGGCTGGGCAGCCCCCCCACCCATGTGGTTGCTCGGTTTTGGGTCACCCAATTACCTCGATGATTTCCCAGCAATACCTGCCCACCTGCCCAGTTCCTCCCCTGAGACTTCACTGTGGGGTACTGAATGGAAACATATAACACAGCCACCATCACCGCATGAGTGCTCAGGAAATGTTAGCTTCAAGATGTGCATTATTGATGTTGTTATGACTTATGAGAAACGCATCTGTTTCCAAGGAGCATCCATCCAGTCTCAACTATTCCACTGAGAACTTCCACTGTAGGAACGTTCCATCTCCTCCCACTGCCAATTTCCTGAGTGGAGAGGGCCCGATTACTGCCACAAAGGCTGTTCTGTGTTCTGTGGACCCAACTAACCAAAGGCCTTGCTCAGGAATCCCTCAGAGGCCTCTCCCTGATGGACTGGCCTCAGCTGCTTCCATGGAGGCATCTCCTGTAGAGTCAGGCCACCCACCCATGGAATTAGCTTCCCTGCTCTTTGGAGGGACTTGCTTTATGACAGTCACACATCCCTTAGCCCAGCTACTCCCTCTGAAAAGCTTCTCTCCTCGCCACAGATTTGACTTACTCCTACAAGATTTCTTCCTTTCTGAGAGGTTCTGATCTCTCAAAGTTGGAAAGAACTGACTCAGTTTCTCCCTTTTCAACTCCTCCCTTCACTGCTTCCTATGCTTGGGATCTTGATCCTGGTTGCGAAGGTTCAATGAGATACACAACATGAAAGGAGCTAGGCCAGCACCTGACCTCCACTGGCGTTCAGTGAATAGAGGTTCAGTTAAGCAATGTCTTCCTTGAGCCTCCTTTACTTATGGAATTACTAATAATAGATACTATTTACTGAGCTTTCACCATGTGCCAATACTGTATAAAGAGCTATGTATGTGCTATCCTACTTAGTCCTCAATATAATCATTCTATGCACAGGAGAACTGAGGTGTACAGAAAGTGAATTACTTACCCAAAGCCAACAACTCGTACATGACAAAGGTCTGTTTGAGTCCAAGCCTTGATGCTTCACCACTCTGCTCTCTGCCACTCCTATATTCTGGTCAGAGAGAACAAAGTGACCTTTTCTCCCGATCTTTTCCAGCCTATGAACTTCAAGAGTGCCCAGACCCAGAGCCCTTTGCCAATGGCATTGTGAGGGGAGCTGGCTACAATGTGGGACAATCAGTGACCTTTGAGTGCCTCCCAGGGTATCAATTGACTGGCCACCCTGTCCTCACTTGTCAACATGGCACCAACCGGAACTGGGACCATCCTCTGCCCAAGTGTGAAGGTATGTACCTCCTTCATCCCCAGTGGTTCTTCCTGCGGTGGTCATGGGCAATCCTGTGGTCCAGCCTAGCCTGGAAGAGGGTCCTGGCAACAGGGCTCTGGGCCAGCATTAGAGAGGACCTGGAGGAATGTGGGCCACAGCCAAGGGGAAGACACACCCAGCCCTTGGGAAGATCTGCCCTGACAGACTAGAGGACCCCCATTGGAAGGGAAGTCTCCGTGTGAAAGAGTGGGAGCCCAGAGGTAAGCTGAGGGGTAGAGAGGTAGAGTTAATCCAGGAACCGGCCCAAAGGAGGAAGAGAATGAAGCCTCTTTCTAAGAACTCTCTTGCTCCCCTCTTCATCTTCCCCCTCCTCGCTCCATTATACTCTCCTTCTTAAGAGGGCTTTAGGCACTTGAGTTGATCTGTCAGGGAGCTGGAGGTGGCACTTTCTTGGGTCTTCTTCCTTACCCAGAACCGGGATGGAAGGTGACCAAGAGCTTGTGCTGCCTCCACCTTCATCTGCACACTTCCGTTCCATTTTCCTTCCCTTTTCATTCTGGCAGCCCAGCATTTTCCTGGAGGAATTTCCTGGAGGAGACAGGAATTTGTCCTGAAAAAGGAAGGTTTAGCAAGGGCAACAATCCAGGAAAGAGTGTCCCAGCTCTGGGATCAAATCACCTCAGGCTACAACTCAGACCTCTTTGCCTCTCTGAGCTTCAGGTTCTTCCTCAGTAAAATGGGACTTCTCAGTCTCTATTTCACAGGAACTGGAGGGCGTCACAGATGGCTAGCTCTCAGACTCAAACTCCAAGTTTAACTCTCGATGGAAAGAGGGACCTTGTTTGCGAAACTGAGCCATTCTTGTGTTGGAATGTAAAACCGTGATTTCTAAAACTATCATAGCCTCAGTTCATTTTTCATATTTTCAGAGCTCTGTTGTGCATAACCAGTTGGTCATTCTGCAGTTGTTGGCCCATAACGTGCTGTGCAACAAGCCTCATGGTGGGCTTTCTTCCCTTCTTAATGCCTTGTTTTTCTTTTTATGGCATCACGGGAGAGAGAAAAGAGCAGCGCTTTCTCAGTCTGCTAGCTTGAGCCAGAAGCTCTTCTTCCTCCCCAGAAGCCTCCTTCCCTTGACTCTTCACTCTCTTGCTTTCCCCCATGTCCCTTATGACAAACTACAAGCCCCTTAGCATAGCACACATGACCCTTAGGTTAGAGCCTAGTCCCTGCTGGCTTCCCATATTCTCCACTCTCATAGATTTTATGTTCCAGCTAAGCTGAAATTCTTTTTTTCCAATGTGCCATGTTTTCTTGCCTCTGGGTCTTAGCATACTTTGTCCTTTCTCATACAGCATTCTTCTCTCTTACCTTGCCTACTTAGCCCTAGTCATCCCTTAGGTCTGAGTATAAATGTGAATTCTACTAGGATTCCTTTGTTACAAAACTAGAGCAGGGCTCCCCCAAACACCCCTCTGGCATTCACAATGATAACATGGTCCAGCCTGTGCTACAGATGCTGGTGTATTTGGCTGTGTCCCAGCGGTGTGCATGCCTGGGACAGAACTGAAGTACCCTGCTCCCCACTATCTCCCAGGCCATGCCTGGCACCCACGAGATATTCAGCTTATGTAGGAGGGATGGCGTGTGCCTGCACACCACTTCCAGGATGTACCTGCATTCACAGGACCCATGGCCTCTGCTTGCAGTCCGTTGGGATTCTCTCTCCTCAGTCTGGTCTGCCCCATCCAGATGTCTGTTTGATGCCTTATGTCAGCGAAAACACTCATTATTCTGTACCACGGTGTTTGGGATTTTGGTCCACCATCCCTGTCTATTCTCCTCCCCAGTGACTGACTCTGAATACCATGGAGATATCAAGGTTTCTTCATCCTTCTGCCTGAGGCCTAAATCAGTGAGACTAAAACTGAGTGTTGCTTTTAGGGAACAGGAAGATAAGGAGAGAGTCATATCTATGTAGCAAATGTCTCCTCTTGATCTGGGGCCTGGGCTGAACATGTTACCTGCGTTGTTGCACCTAATCACCACCACAATCCCATGGGGGAGGTGTTCTAGTCCCATTTTACAGGTGATGAAATGGAGACTCAGAGAGGCTAAACTATTTATCTAAGAGTATCTGCTCAATGAATCGTTCAGCTATGATTTGAATCCAAACTTAGCCTCACCACGGGAACCCTCAACTCGAAGTCTAGACCACAAATACCACTCTAGAAAGAGCAAATCAAAGAGAAAGAAAGATTTTGCCAGTTTCTTAGCTCTTCCCAGCAAAAGCACTGGAGATTTTCACCCTAACATCTACTCCCTCCCATTTCTGGGAAGGGAGAGAGACAGCTTCAGTGCATCCTTTCATCTTGGCAGTTCTCTTCCTAAGAAAGAGAAAGAGGGAGGCTGAGGCAGGCCCACAAAGGGATCTGCAGTGAAGATTGAGAGATGGCTGGGGTGTGCCGTGTGGGGACTGGTGGGTAGAACCAGGTGCAGCCATCCTCAGCTTGGCCTCCCCTCCCACATCCCACCTGATCTCCCTGACAGGATGATTACTTCTAGGAGCTGGGAGTTCCTTAGGAAGGCATCTCAATTCTCAGGTGGGTACTGAGGCTCTGCACTTATGTTTGTGTTCCCTCCCTGGCAGTCCCTTGTGGCGGGAACATCACTTCTTCCAATGGCACCGTGTACTCCCCAGGGTTCCCTAGCCCATACTCCAGCTCCCAGGACTGTGTCTGGCTTATCACCGTGCCCATTGGCCATGGCATCCGCCTCAACCTCAGCCTGCTGCAGACAGAGCCTTCTGGAGATTTCATCACCATCTGGTAGGCCAGGTGCCTTGTCAACAGCCAATTAGAAAACAGCATTTGTGGGGTCCTATACTGGGTTACCAGTCAGTTACCTACTGGTTTAGAAAAACCAAGAGCTGATTGGTTTTAAAGGCTGCGGCCTCCTGGGTCTCAAATAAACATAGTGGAATGGGGTTCAGCTGCAGTCAGCCATTATGGCTCCTTGAAGGGAGAGGAATGGGAAGGCAGTGGCTCCCAGCCTACAGTCCTGCCAGGGCCAGGGAAAGTACCAATGGGTGTGTTAAGGGGAGTAGGTGTGGGTACACAGACTTGCCTCAGTATTTCCAGAGTTCAAATTAACATTCCACGTGCACCAGGGCTAAGCCTCGCAGACTAATGGAAGATATTTAAGGTGGAATTTTGTGATATCCTGTTGGTCACTTGGTACTGAGCCAGCACTTTCCAGCAGAGCTTTCTGCAGTGATGGAAATGTTCTATGTCTATGCTGCCCAATATGGTAGCCACTGGCTACAGAGTACCTGGATATGACTAAGGATCTGATTTTTAAATGTTATTTGATCTTAATAATTTAAATGTAAATAGCCATGTGTGGCTGTCAGTGACTGAATTGCACAGCTCAGCTTTGAGTTATGTAGTTATATATTAGTCAATTTTAAATTGGGAATACAGATTAGCATTTGATATGTGCCATTTCCTGGACAGTTTCTTCCCAAACCACTGGATCTCTGGAAGAGCATATAATTTTTAAATTCCTTTATTTGGTGTTATTACTGCCATTCTGGGACTCATCAGGGGTTAGGAGAATTCTCTTCCAAAGTTCCCAGGGCTTGGATAACTGCAACCGGACTGACCTGGGTTAATTTCCAATATGATTTCCAAGCAATGGCTAGGAACAGACAGGAGGGGTTAGATAAGGTTTCAGGGAAGAAAGCCTTTTCCCCAAAAGGCATTGTGAGTATACTCGTTGCTTGGAAGACAAGGAAATGGAGCCGGTGTGCATAGCAGCAGGTTTCTACACCAGCTCCTCAGCCCTGTCCTAGAGCTTCCCCAGAGAGAGAGGACCTGTGTTAAGACCCACACCCTTGCTCCATGGAGCCTGAGTCTCCTCAGGAGCCCATTGAGCTGGTGAAGAATCAGGTGAATGATGAATCAGTGTGAGCATCACCAATTCTGTCAACTGTGTTGGGAGACCAAGTTGGGAATGGTTGGGTGAGGTGTTTAGGGCATGGTTTGGGGATGTGTTGGTGCAAAAAGAATCATGGCCTCCCAATTCAAGTCTGTCTTCAGGCCACTGATGGCACGAAGTGGAACAGGCAGCCATGGTGACTAGTGGCATGCCAGGATCTTGTTTCCCACATACAGGGATGGGCCACAGCAAACAGCACCACGGCTCGGCGTCTTCACCCGGAGCATGGCCAAGAAAACAGTGCACAGCTCATCCAACCAGGTCCTGCTCAAGTTCCACCGCAATGCAGCCACAGGGGGGATCTTCGCCATAGCTTTCTCTGGTCAGTACGGAAGCCTGGCCTGGTGGGAGAGGCCTGGCTTTCAAGTCAAGGCTGAGCTTGACTCCTGGCTCCACCATTTGCAGGTCCTGTAACAATGAGTGAGTTGTGTAACCTCTTGGAGCCTCAGTGTCTTCAGAGTTATGAGAATTAAATATATTAGCATATGTGAGAGCTCTCGGTATGGGGTTCTGTAAATGGAAGTTTTCCTCCTATTCCACATTGCCAAGACAGAGAGGCACAAGATCCCAATCCTTGATGCCAAGTCCACTCATTCATGTCAGCTCACTGGCTGGGTCATCCCTCTACCTGTGCCCCAGCTTGTCCCTTAGCCCTTTCCAGCAGATTCTCCCTCTCTAAAGGGATCTAGGGCCTCTGCTGACCTCTCAAGGAGCACAGTGTTTTTGTGCATAAATGAAGGCATTGTGATTTCAAGTAGGAAGAGTATGAACAATTCAGGGCAGGCATGTCTTTATTGGCAGCCTATTTTCTTCTACAGGTCCCAAGTTAGGGATCTGGATATTTCCTCATTTTTGTTATGGAGGAATTGCAGAGAGAAACTTATAGAATGTTCTCTGTGGAGTTGTGCCCATCTATGGAATGATGCACATGTTTGCAGCTTACAGATCATTGCAGATATTTGAACCAGAAATCAGGAAAGCTGAATTTTATTCCCAGCTCCACCTTGGGCCAGATGTGTGAAACCTTGCACAGGTCCGGTCCCCACTTGAGACCTCAATTTCTTCACCTGTAGGGATTACAGCCTTGGAGTTTGTAACCTGTAAGAATTCTGTGAGGTAGTAAGGCAAATATTCTAACCCCCATTTTACAAATGAAGAAATGCAGCAGAGGCTCAAGTACTTGCCCAAAACCATGTGGATAGAACTTGGAACAGAACCCAGCCCACTCAGTATCTGCTCTGGAGTGTTATTACATCATGCGTGCACTTGCAGAAACACATTAAGACTGTGAAAGAGATAGTGAAAGAAACAGAAAGAGACAGAGAGAAACAAGAATGTAAAAAGCCCAAAGCAGCTATGACTGCCATTCTCAGGAGCTGTCATCCAGGGTGAGTGCAGCATGAGAATGCGACTCCGCCCTCTCCATCTACTCAGTTCCCATGCCCCTCTTGTTGGGCACACCTGTCCTTCCACTAACAAGACCCAGGCTTTAAGATTCTGTCATTTTGACTTATGACTTTCCCATAGAGTGCTAGAGTGTGGACTTCAGAGTCACAGACAGGTTGAAACCTTGGCTCTAACACATACAAACTATGTAACTTTGTCTGTCATTTCACCTTTTTGAGCCTCGATTTTATTATGCACAAAATAAGAATGATGAGTACCTAACCCAACAGGGTTAAGTGAAATGAGGTTCAGAAATCCTTAGCTCCAGGCACAGAGTATGAAAGGTGCTCAATAAATTTATAGTTTCAATAGTCATCCTTGTCATGATTATTTTTATTATTTTTAGATATTGACAGGCTTGGTGTGAAGTTATCTTGGTGCTAGGCTGGGTCTCTTGTTCCTGTTCCTGAGCCCTCACCTTTACCAGAACCAGGTAAAGGAGGCTCAGTGAGAACCTATCTCTAAAAAGAAAAGAATAAGAATCATTCACGTAGAATACAATTTATTGATTTAGAGAAATGTTTATTTTATATTGTTCAGGGCAAAAAAGCAGGTGATTTTTAAAACTCAGATGATGGTATCACCAGAAAATGCAGTGATTATGGACTGCCACCCTCCATCACACTCACCACTCCTTGTGATGTTCTTAGAAAAGAGATACAGACAAGGAACAAAGGCTAAGGAAGGCATTTCAATATTAGCTGAGTATGGACCCCAAATTCAAAAGCAGAGCCCTGAGTCTTTTGCTAAGCTCAAATGAACCATATGAACTCACAATTTTTTCTAAGTTAATTTGGTTTTAAAAGCTTCAAACGAGGCCAGGCACAGTGACTCACACCTGTAATCCCGGCACTTTGGGAGGCCGAGGCGGGCAGATCACCTGAGGCCAAGGGTTCGAGATCCGCCTGACCAACATGGAGAAACCCCATCTCTACTAAAAATACAAAAATTAGGCAGGCATGGTGGCGGACACCTGATCCCCAGCTACTCAGCAGGCTGAGACAGGAGAATTGCTTGAACCCAGGAGGCAGAGGTTGTGGTGAGCCGAGATAGCGCCATTGCACTCCAGCCTGGGCAACAGAGACTCCGTCTCAAAATAAAATTTAAATAAATAAGGCTTCAAATGCAAGGCCAATCCAGCACACTCAGCAGCTTGAGGAAGAACGATCCCAGGAAGACCATGGAGACCATTGCTCACAATAGCTGCTGATGAGCCAACTGCTGCTTAAAGCAACAGCCCCTACTGCCCACCAGTTAACATGTTCACACGCCAGAATTCGGCTAAGCTCTCTCAATGCCTCACCCTCTTCCCCTCAGGGGAAGAAGGAGGGTATTCACAAAATGAAATGGAGGAGTCAGCCTTGAATGTCCCCTGCCCTAAAGTTCTGTAGCAATAAATGGTAGATATGGTGGGATACCATCAATGTGGTAAGAGTGTGTGTGTGTGTGTGTGTGTGTGTGTGATGGGGAGCAGGGAGGGTGTGTCTGTAAAAGACCCAAGATCCTACAGCAAAGTTTTTGAAATGCTTATGCCTAGATGGTAGGAATTCTGGGAATTTTTGTTTTGTTGCTTTTTAGTATCCCATAAGCTTCCTACAGTAAAAGGAAATTTGTAATTTTATGGCCAGGCACAGTCACTCACACCTGTAATCCCAGCACTTAGGGAGGCCAAGGTGGGAGGATCACTTGAGCCTGGTAGTTTGAGATCAGCCTGGGCAATATAGTGAAACTCCATCTCAACCAAAAAAAAAATGTTTAATTATCCAGGTGTGTTGGCATGAACCTGTAGTCCTAGCTACCTGGGATGCAGAGGTGAGAAGATAGCTTAAGCCCAGGAGGTCAAGGCTGCAGTGAGCCATGATTGTGCCATTGTACTCTAGTCTGCGTGACAGAGCAAGACCTTGCAAAAATAAATAAATAAATAAAGTAGTTTTAAAATGTAATGGAAAATCACCCCAATCAAAATAGTAATCACAAAATATCAAGTACCCAGGATGTATTTAATTGGGGATATGTTTTTATTCATTTTTTTCCTGGAAAAGTTTAGTATGCCTTAGAAGTTTTAAACATAAGTCTGATGCAGAGAATGGAAGGCACAAATGTTTTTAACTTATTAAGAAAAATTATAGTTGGCTACATAAAAATTTAATACTTCTACAAATCAAGAGTGTTATAAATAAAACTAAGCAAATTATAAACTGGGAAAATATAATTAACTGTCTAAGGTCAACCTTGAATATTCATAGAGTTCTTCAAATTTATAAGAAAAATAGGAGCAAAGAAGGTCTTTCATAGCTAGACCTTTCTGTCTAGAGTTTTGTAATGTTTCAAGCTGCAAGGTTTCACAGTGCACAGGATATTTATGGTACTGTATGCAATGCACAGAGGCACTGTTTTGTCACGCCGTATTGTTAGGTGATCATGAAGTGATGTTTTAAGTATTTAACTTCTAACATAATGGCTTATTGCATATAGTTAGGTATTTTACTTTGTCTTAATTACTTTTTGGATTTGGGGTGGAAGTTCAAAAGGGTCGTGTACTTGAATGCTATCTAGTTAAAAAAGAAAAAGAAAAAAAACCATAAAAGATGAATGTATAAAAAGGATTTCATTGCAGTTTTATTTTAAATTGCAAAACTTTGGAAACCTAAATGGTTAACAGGGTGTCTGTTAAATACATTCTAGTAAATCTGTATGATTAAATCCTATGAAGTCATTTCAATCATATTTTTCAAGACATTTAATTATACGGGAAAATTCTTGCAATATAATAGTAAGTGTCCAAGGATCAACAGAAGATATATAATATATGATGCAAATTATGTAAAAGAAAAATATTTATATATGCAGAGAATAAACACTCCAAGAACATAATGTAATTGGTTAACAATGGTTGTCTCTGAGAGGGCAATGGATGAGTTTTTCTTCCTGTTGTTCTCAGAGAAGACCTCAGATTTTCTTTAATGATAATATATTTGTATTTATTAAAGAACACTTTATAAAAAATATATAGCAGGGATTGGGGTGACTGGAAATAGTAACAAGAGTAACAACAGCAGGTGCAGCAACAGCAGCTAACACTTGTATAGCACTTGACTCTGGGCCAGGTAATAAAAGCCAAGTTATAAGCCCACACTGAACTTTGCCTCAGTAAGCAGCAACCTGCCTCTAGCATCATCCAGTCTCTGCCCATAGGGATGAATTCCCGTCTAGGAAATTTGTGAAGCCAGAAGTATCTGGTCAAAGATCAGACGAGTCAGCTTATTAGCTTATTAGCTGACTCCAGTGGGTACTCGTAGAAGCCACATGCAGTATGTAGAGGTCAAGTGATGGGAAGAATACAGGGTTTGGGAGCAGCCAGACCTGGATTCAAATCCTGCCTGTGCCACTTAATTCCTGTGTGACCTTGAGGAACATACTTCACCTTTCTGAATCTCACTTGGTCACGAGTAGAGTAAGAGCACCTCACAGCGTGGTCAGATGTTGTGAGGGTTAGAGTGGCAGCCTGTGAAACACCTAATATCCACGAGACGCTCAGAAAATACTCCTCTCCCACCCTTCTGTTATGGTGAAGGTGTCACGGACTTCTTAAATTGTCCTTCCTTTGTTATTATTAATTTCAGTAAGGATGGCAGAAGATAAGCAAAAAGGACTTGGCTAAACTTGCCCCATTTACACATAAGTACTCATGAATATCTATGTGTGAATAAATGAGGGATGAGAAAGTGAAGAATTGAACAAATGAATGACAGCATACCTAGAGGACGATGATCTTACCCTGACTTGCCTGCTTTTACCTTTTCAGCTTATCCACTCACCAAATGCCCTCCTCCCACCATCCTCCCCAATGCCGAAGTCGTAACAGAGAATGAAGAATTCAACATAGGTACCACCTCCCAAGCCTGGGGAAAGAAGGGAAGGTGGCAATGGGAGCTGTTGGGACAGTGGGGCTCATCCCTTCCTCCTGTCCCTGCAGAGAGAAATAGTAGGCCCTGTGCTGGAGGGGTCTGTCAGCTGAGTTTGCACCCAAAATAAAATCAAAAGGGGAGCCAGAAAAAACAGTTTTCTTCTGTGATTCAAGTCAGCATCTTTTTGAGAAATAAATCCATGCAAGATAATATAAAATGGCCTGGAATATGAAACAGTCCTAGGCTCAGGCAAGGCTGAGCTGTGAGACGGGAGCAGATGTCTGGGCCATTTGATCAGAGCCAAGCTAGTTATTTAAGTCTGAACAGAATATGACCCACCTCTGATCATCACCTAGAAGTGGGTTCAGGCCCATCTGCCCTGTCCAAACTTCTGAAGGGAGTCCTCATGTTGGTCGTTCTTTGACAGGTGACATCGTACGCTACAGATGCCTCCCTGGCTTTACCTTAGTGGGGAATGAAATCCTGACCTGCAAACTTGGAACTTACCTGCAGTTCGAAGGCCCACCGCCAATATGTGAAGGTAATTACATGCAGCTGAGTCCGTATGGGGCCTAGAAGTTCCTCCCAAACAAAGCCCTTGTTTTGCTTCTCTTTCTATTTCTAGTTTTCTGCTCAGTCACTACCCCATAACATGAAAAGTCTGTTGATAAATGTCTGATGAATGATTGAGTGCCTAAGGAATGAGTGAGTGATCACTCTAGATAGGTTCTTTGCCCTCTTCTGACGTCTGAACCTGTGAACTGGCCACAGTGGCCACATTTATTTCCATCTTCCTTTTTTCGTTGCTGGGAATTTCTTGGAATTGCATGCTGAGCAATGGAAGTGGGAAGTCCCTCCCTGGGCCTTCAGGGAAGGGCGGGCTTACACACCAACCCTGCCTTACTGGTGCTCAGATGCACCCAAGGTCCTGTGTGCCAAACCAGGCAACTGAGAGACCACAGCAGTCTTTATTCCAGTGTACTACGCCTTGACAGAAATGAATTTGCTTCACCTAGTCACCCCAACTAAGATCAAAACATATTCTCCACTCATCAGACATCTGACCTAAGGCAAGGTACCTGATTGTCTTGCCCTCAATCTTCCCTTCTGTAATGATAGTACTTATGCCATGGGGTTATTCAATGATTAATAACATAAAGCAGTTTAGAATGATGCCTGGCATGCGGTAATTGTTTCATTTTTGCTGTTAATATTATCGTTAGCGTGACTACTGTTTCTAGAACTACTGCTGCCTGCAAATATTCAGTAGCCTGTGGGGAAACAGGTCAGCCTTTGCCCCACCCCTGGGAAAGCAAGAGTAGGATGCACCTGCAATATGGACTGTCTGTAAGGAAGGGCAGACCTGGTAGAGGCAGGAGTGGACCACGAGGCCTAAGAACTTAAATATCATCACATCTCAGTGCCCTGTACTGGTCATCGGATTAGTGAAATCAGGAGCATGTCAAAAGCTAAGCGAGTCTGCTCCTAAACAACATTTGTTTTCCTTCTCTTCTTAAAATTAAAAAGGAAGCTCTATCAGAAAAAGTCAGTGAGTACCTTTCAAAGCTACTTGGGAAGAATCCTGGATGAGTCCTGTGAAATTCTGGGCCACAGCAAGACTCTTTCTAGGAGCCCAGTCCCAGTGCTGAATACCAAGCCCCACTTCTCTGAAGGCAGAGATGAGATGGGTGGACAGCTCATGGCAGTCTTCTACCCAAAATAGTATTACCTGAGATTGTAATGTAGGGATTAATTTTTGGCCTTGCAGTTCTAGAAACTCCCTTATACCAGTGTCCCAGAACCCAGCAAACCTAGGAAGCCTGTCTAAAGGCACATCTACTGCAAAACACCAATTTCTCCATGTGCAGTGATTGGAATATACCTGTCATTAATGCACACCTTTGTACTGAAAGAACAATGTACTGAAGAAGTTGATTTAGTCCTCAGACCTTTGCCTTGGCGTCTGCACCAAGCAAATGGAGGTGAATGGTCCTGAAATTGCTTTCATGCTGTGACGCTTGCCTGTGCTCCTGGACAGAGCACCTCCTCAGTGCTGGAGAAGGGCCTCTCTGAACCAGCAGCTTCCCTCCCACTCATGAGGATAACAAAAAACCCAATCCTGCTCCTCCAGCTCCTCCTTTTCTAAGTTCCAAGCTCAATGTCTTCTTTAGAATGACATTTTTTTCTTCAGCTATATTAATACTACTAATTAGGCCACAGCCAAGTTCTGAGACCCTTTCTGTTCAAGATGCAGTTATCATCATTCTCTCTACAGTTTACTGAAGCACTATGTTGCATGCTTTACATATATTATTTAAAAAAAATTTTTTTTGAGACAGAGTCTCACTCTGTCACCAGGCTAGAGTGTCCCACTTCTCTGAAGGCAGTGGGGCTCTCCAGCCTGGTGACAGAGCAAGACAGAGTGGTGCAATCTCGGCTCACTGCAACCTCCACCTCCCAGGTTCAAGCGATTCTCCTGCTTCAGGCTCGCTGGCAGCTGGGACTACAGGCACATACCACCATGCCCAGCTTATTGTTGTATTTTTAGTAGAGACAGGGTTTCATCTTGTTGGCCAGGATGGTCTCAATCTCTTGACCTTGTGATCCCACCTTGGCCTCCCAAAGTGTTGGGATTACAGGCGTGAGCCACCACGCCTGGCCTATAATATTTTATATAATGCTCACAACAATCCTATAAGGTCCATGCTATCTCTGTGTTGGAGATGGAGAAGCCATCACACAGAGAGGAGATAATTTGTTCAAGACCACACCAGTAGTAAGTGGCAGAGGTAGGCTATAAATCTAGGTGTATTTGACTCAAAATCCTGTGTACTTACCTCTGCCCTATACAGTACCATCTTTGTTGAAACAAAACCCATTTTATAGATTATCTCCTTTGGATTTGGGGATGCCTTACTATTGTCCATATGTATGTTTCATCCTTTCCTACCCAAAGCCATATAGTAGAACCAACAACTTAGCTAGGAAGTAACTCCAACCAACCGGCCAAGCCCAAGTCCAAGAAATACGGCAATATCAACACAGGGTCTAAGGCCACCTCATGTCATGGAGCAGTACAATGTTGGATGTGGGATCTTAGGTGAATGTGCTCAAATACCAATTTTCTAAAGGTTGCCTTTTGTATTGGGAAAAGCAAATGTGTTTGCCATAGTTCCATCACCACCTCATGTTACCTGGTGTTTCTCTTTCTTTCTCCAAGTGCACTGCCCAACAAATGAGCTTCTGACAGACTCCACAGGTGTGATCTTGAGCCAGAGCTACCCTGGAAGCTATCCTCAGTTCCAGACCTGCTCCTGGCTGGTGAGAGTGGAGCCCGACTATAACATCTCCCTCACAGTGGAGTACTTCCTCAGCGAGAAGCAGTATGATGAGTTTGAGATTTTTGATGGTAAGTCGGTCAAATGCTGCATAGATCTCTGCTACAGAAAACATAGACTTGCTCCAGAACCCAAGGAGTCTGTGCTGCAGTTTTCCTATCAAGGCTTGCCAGAAGCTCCACAGGATGTCCTTCCCTACCACAGCATCCCCAAGGCCATGGGACCTGAGGGGTGGCATGGCCCAAGCAGCAGGGCTGCTTGTATTACAACTTGAACCTGTTACCAAGCCTTTTCTTACTCTAGCTCCCACTCAAAGGCATTCCTGTTAATGTCAACAGATAAATGGGTCATAGCAGTATTGCCAAGTGAAGAGTGTGCTTCCTCCAAAACCCAGAGATCTACCAAACATTGTGCTGCTTCTTTGGCTCTTTAATTTGGAGGGAATGTCTCAGCATGGGACCACTGGACCCTAAAAACTTAACAGCAGATTTGGTAGGATTTCTCTCTTGCCCTCTGGAGCACATGTGTCCTGCAATGGCATCTTGCCAAAGCACTAACTGTCCCTTCTCACTCATCAGAGCCGATTAATATGATGTCCTCAATAGAGTGAACCAATATGTTATATTCTGCAAGATGTCCAGATGGTCCACATCCCTTTATACTGTATTCTGACAGAGAACAAGAGAAGTAACACAGCTCTGGGGGAAACCATGAATGTATACTGTTGTATACCCCATGTGAATGCAAACTGCTTCTGATGCTCCTGTCTGAAGGATATGGAAAAGACTATATGGCCAGATCAACAGCTGCATTCCATGTATCTAAGGCTGTGTTAATCTGTTCTAATAAAGATAGGCACCTTACACAGCTGCTACAATTGAGGCTCCTACGTGGTTAAGTGTGTACTGTGAGACAGACCTAGGCCAGGACTCCACTTATTCCCAACCCCAGTCTTCATACACCCCTCCTGTGACAGGGTAGCTGTGATAGTGCTTTGGGCCTCCCCTCCATCAGCATCAGTTAACATCCTGTATCCAGAAGTCTTTGATATATCTGAACATTCCCTTTTCTATAATATTCAGTTTTCTGAGTAAACAGTAGTAGGTCTTTTGGGGGAAGAACTGTAGGAACAACAACTATATACAATTGTTGTCATTGTGCAGGGTTTTTTTTCATAGGGACCCGGCCTCTTGGGAAATGAAACCTGGCTTAAGTCTGCAAACTGGACAAGGATTGCACCTTTCGGCTGGGGGCAGCTTTTCTCACCCTGCGGTTATCTACTCATGATCTATTTTGTTCATATAGTCATGGTTGTTTTGCTGCTCTTTTTGGCTTCCTATGTACCTTACCTTTAGGAGCATCATGTTCTATGAGCCATCTTTGTAGATAGGCCAGGCCCTCACAGCTGCCATTCCAACCTCACTTTCCATTTTAGTAATTATGCCAACTTAGCTTCTGACTCTTAAGTAATTCCACTGGCCTCTGTATTCTAGGACCTTCTCATCCCCATTACTGCTAGGGAGCCCAGCATCTCTTCCCATCAGTTTTGACCCACAGGAAATATCCATTAATTACTCAGCAACACTGGTCCTCACCCGCTCCAGGAAGACTGGAGCTCCTCACCCCCTGATTGCTTTAGTAAATGGTGCATCCTCCAGGTCTTCCTGAGAACTATGGTCAGCTAGTGGGTGCTCTGCTCTTACACAGTAGACCTAGCTCAGCATGCCACTTCTCTAACCCTTTCCCTTTATAGCTGGCCATGGCAGTTCTGGTGGCTCTTTGTTTAATATCATCCATTACTTTTTCCAAGCTTCTAAGAGCTGTCTCAGTGGCATAGTAGAGCCATCACTCAGGGCCTTTTCCAGGGTGATAAATCCTGTGTTATGGATTATCCAGCTTTATATTCTGCTCCCCTTCAACCAGACCCCTGGGGATACAATCCCAGGCACTTAAGGTAGGTCAAAAGAAGAGGGAGGTCTTTCTCAAAGAGCCTTCAAAAGCAATATTAGGGAGCTCTTACTTATGACTCAGATGACATTTTCCTCTAGCTTTATTACTATGTATTCATTCCATAAACATTTTTTCTATATGGCAGACACTGAGGGTTTTTGTTTAAGACAGAGTTTTGCTCTGTTGCCCAGGCTGGAGTGCAGTGGTACAGTCTTGGCTCACCGCAACCTCCGCTTCCTGGGTTCAAGCAATTCTCGTGCCTTAGACTCCCCAGTAGCTGGGACTACAGGCATGCAACCACCATACTCAGCTAATTTTTTTTTTTCAGTAGAGGTGGGGTCTTACTATGTTGCCCAACCTGGTCTCAAACTCCTGGGCTCAAGTGATCCACCTGCCTCAGCCTCCCAAAGTGCTGGGATTACAAGCATGAGCCACTGCACCCAGCCTGAGCTTTTTCTAAATACACCAAGAGAAGTAGAGTGGCCAAGTGAAAGAAGTTCCCATTTTGAAAACCAGCTCTTCCGTTAACCAGCTACTTGACCTTGGTCAGGTCTCAAAAGGCAAATCAATTTCATCTTACCTGCCAGCTCCTATAGGTAGGCAGGGACTTCCTAGAGCACTGCTTTAGAGTGAGGCTCAGGAGAAAAGAGCACCTTGAGCAATGCCTGTGGATGCAGAGAGAGGAGTGCAAGTACAGATGATTTTGCTGACTCTGAACAGGTCACCCCACCCTCTGAGCCCTGAGGTCTTCCCTGGAGGCTCCCTGTGATGGCTCCGATGGTCTGTAATCCTGAGTCCTTCTCACCCCAGGTCCCTCCGGACAGAGCCCTCTGCTAAAAGCCCTCAGTGGAAATTACTCTGCTCCCCTGATTTTCACCAGCTCAAGCAACTCTGTGTACCTGCGCTGGTCATCTGATCACGCCTACAATCGGAAGGGCTTTAAGATTCGCTATTCAGGTGAGTTAAAAAAAAAAAAAAAAGAAAGAAAGAAAGAAAAAAAAAACACACACATAAATAAGCCATTGGCCCTCTCTTTATCAAAGCTGCAAGCTCCTCGTGAAGACTGGCCAGCTGTTCCCCGCCTCTAAATCTCCCTCACCTGAAGCTAAGTGGTCTTTGCCATATCCCCATCTCCTATTCTTCTATTTTATTCCCCTCTTTTAACCTATTTCCTCCCTTCTTATACAGCCAGCCCGTGTCTTCAGTATAAGTTTCTTTTTTTTTTTTTTTTTTTTTTTTTTTTTTTTTGAGATGAGTTTCGCTGTTGTTACCCAGACTGGAGTGCAATGGCACGATCTCGGCTCACCACAACCTTTGCCTTCTGGGTTCAAGCAATTCTCCTGCCTCAGCCTCCCGAGTAGTATTATATATGATCTCATAATGCCTAACAGTGATCCTGTCCCTTTAGGAAAGTTAGGAAATGCTAACTTTAAGTTTCCTTAAAACTAAAAAGCCCTAAAGCATGGATTTCTGACTGGCAGATGTTAAACAGGCAGCAAAGGATGGGCTATATTTCAAAGCCAGGTACCTATCTTCTGCTCTTCAAGCTGTATCTTATAAACAGAATCAGATCAAAAGACCAGGCCAGCCCAAAGGCTGACCCAGGGAACAATCTATAAGGACTGAAAAAATATTCCTGGGAATATAATGAGATGGAGAAAATTGAATTTATCTGATCTCCTGTTGTGAGAATTACTTTTTGTGTTTGGAAGAAAACTTCACAAGCTGCTTGATGCCCACTTTGAATAGGGGGGTGGGTTCAGTGAACTGCTGGCTGGGCTCCGCAAGCTTGGAGACAGAAATGAATTACTTAAGACTGTGGGTGGTTCCACCACACAGTAGTTCCCTTTCAGCACTCTTGCCCCTGGCTACCTTTGGCCTACATTTCAAGCAAATGATGGACAAATTTCTAAAGAATCTTGGTTGGGGGCCAGGAGTGGTGGCTCACACCTATGACACCAGTACTTTGGGAGGCTGAGGCAGGTGGATCAGCTGAGGTCAGGAGTTTGAGACTAGCCTGATCAACATGGTGAAACCTCATCTCTACTAAAAATACAAAAATTAGCCGGGCATGGTGGCATGCACTTGTAATCTCAGCTAGTTGGGAGGCTGAGGCAGGAGAATTGCTTGAACCCAGGAGGCCGAGGTTGCAGTGAGCCCAAATTATGCCATTGCACTTCAACCTGGCAACAAGAGTGAAACTCCATCTCAAAAAAAAAAAAAAAAAAGAATCTTGGTTGGAAGGGTTGTCAAATTATAACTGGCCTGAAGTCCCTCTTGCCACAGTTCATCTTCATGGGTCTCCTGCTTGCAAGACCAGCCCATACTCAGAGGGTGAACAGTCTTAAAGAATGCCTGGGTGTGGTTTTCAGGGAAAAGCTGAGGGTGCCTGGGAAGACATGGGTCTTTATTGTCTCAGAACCCATATCTTCTGCAGAATCCATCCAACCTCTCCTTTCCCTGGTGCACAGAGGAGTGGTCTGGGCAGCTGCAATGACTGAGTGCCCCAACATCAGTGACCAGCTCTCTCACTCACTAGCTATGAGATTATTAGGCAAGGCACTTAACCACTTCAGGCCTCAGTGTCCACAGGATGAAAAAGAAACTGTAAGGTGCCTCTTAGGGATGACTCAGGGTGAGCACCTGGCAGCTACTCACTCAATCGGGAAACACAGCAGTTTAGTACCATCTTACTATGCTGTTTGCTAAATTAGGAACTGAACACTATTAAGGAATTACCCTTTCCTTGATGTTCTAAAGACTAACATGTTTGGGGATAATGAGTCAGCTGTAATTGCAATACCTATGCCATATAGAAAATAAATTAATTACATGGTGCAACAATTAGTCCTTAATAATTCAGACATAGTAGATGAGTGTAATTTGCACCTGCATCTGTCACTGTGACTAGGTATATTTTACAACTGAGAGTCTTATACCTGAGGGAGGTAACCACATAGATACGGCACACATAGAGCACAAGGGGCAAAGCAGGAGTAGGGAAATAAACCCAGTTTGGAAAGCAGCTATTTAAATACCAATTTCACCAGCAGAGGGACGTGATCAACAAAAAAAGAGGCCAGGGGATCTCACCGTGGGGCGGCTGTGAGTAAGGGCCCACACCCAAATCCTGCCTTATCCATGTCTGCCTGTAAGACCCAACCAGGGACTCCTAGGGCAAACAGAGATAATTATCTGTCTGGTCCTTTGGTCATCCCTCTTTCCTGGCCTCACAGGACTCCCCGAGGATCCCTGGCAGGGTTCAGAATGTGACTCCTTTAAACTGGGGTTTTTTGTTGTGTGTGTGTGTGTGTGTGTGCGGGTGTGTGTGTGTTTTGAGACAGAGTCTCACTCTATCACCCAGGCTAGAGTGCAGTGGCAGGATCTCAGCTCCCTGCAGCCTCCACCTCCTAGGTTCAAGCAATTCTCCTGCCTCAGCCTCCCGAATAGCTGGGACTACAGGCACGCACCACCACACTTGGCCAATTTTTGTATTGTTAGCAGATATGAGGTTTCCCCAGGTAGTCCTCAAACTCCTGGTCTCGTGTGTTCCACCCACCTCGACCTCCCAAAGTGCTGGGATTATTGGAGTGAGCCACTGCACCTAACCCAGGCTGGGATTTTGGTCTGTTTTCTTCATTGTTGTATTGCAAGCACTTAGAACAACATCTGGAAGATAATAGATACTTGATATCTGTTGAATGAATCAATGAAATAAGTTGAAGCCATATGTGGAGGGGAAATGAGCACAGTAGGGAAACGTGTGTCCCAGGTTGCCACAGGTCCATCTCAGTGCATTCCCCTATACAACACGAAGGAGAATGACCATTTATTTAATAAGCATTGAACACCGAGTGCCCCATGCTGTGCTGGGGGCTTTATGTATGCAGTCTTTATATAGAATTTAAATTGCCCAAAGTAGGTATTACTAGTCCCAATTTACAGGTGAAGAAATTGGAGCTAAGTGATTTGTCCCAAATTACGGACCCGGTAAGATCAGAAATGGGACTTGAGCCCAGGCCTGACTAACGTCAAAGTTCACCCTCCTGCGGTCACACCTTTCTGGAACCAGCCCCATTGGGTTCTGCTTTCTAAGTCTGTTTGGGAGCTGAAGGGATTTGAGAACTTGAACTTAGCCATACAACCAAATCTGCCTCTGGACCACAAAAGGGAGCCAGTGCTTCATGAAGTGGGTTTGGTTTTTTTTTTTTTTCTCTTTGTTTTACTTCTGCTTTATTAACCTGGCTGGATGTTTTGCAATATCCACCACTCAGACCTTCCTCAGTAGCAGAGGAGGTGGCAGTGGCAAAGACAAGGAGATGAAGGGAGAAAATAGGGGAAAGGACCTGCATGGAAGACCATGTCTGTCTTCCTGCTGGGACTGATTCTCTGAACCTCATCTTCTTGTTCAGCCCCTTACTGCAGCCTGCCCAGGGCTCCGCTCCATGGCTTCATCCTAGGCCAGACCAGCACCCAGCCCGGGGGCTCCATCCACTTTGGCTGCAATGCCGGCTACCGCCTGGTGGGACACAGCATGGCCATCTGTACCCGGCACCCTCAAGGCTACCACCTGTGGAGCGAAGCCATCCCTCTCTGTCAAGGTGAGAAGCAGGTGGAAAGGGGGCCACGGGTAGCTCGGATCCAACTCACATCTTGAGTTTGTCCAGGACTAGTCAATTCTGAATGAGGGTTTCCTGTTTGATAATTAATTCATTCTTTCCACCAGCATTTACTGAAGATCTGTAGTGCATAGCAATCTCAGTGTTTTGAGATCCATGGGGGAGATGGGTATGTGAGCACATCAGTGCAAGTGACAGAGGAAGGAAGTGTTGTGTCATGAGCACAATCAGTGTTCTAGGAGCCCAGAGGTGAGAAGGGATCTCCTTCCTCCTGGCCAGCTGGGGAAGGCTCCCAGCCACAGAGATGCTTGGGCTTGGGCTCGTAGAGCAAGTGGGTTGATCAAACACTTGAAATGTGCCAGTCAGTTTACATGCATTACCTTTTATATCTTATGAGTTTTTTTCCCTTAAAATAATATATACACTCAAACTAAAAATCTGAAGAAAAAAACTGTAGATAATGCAAAAGAAAAAAGTGAAAATGAATGAAAAACCTGACATCACCACTATTAACATTCCAGCACATTTCCTTTGGTCTTTTATATCTTGATTACAAAAATAAGATCATCCCTGTGCAAAGCTCTTATAGATTTTGTTTCCGATAATGCTGTGCGACCATAGAAAATAATGGTGAGGGAGTATATTTAACTATATATTGTTACATATATTACATACTATTGTTGGTGGTGGTTTTGTTTTTTGTTTTTTGTTTTTGAGATGGAGTCTTGCTTTGTCACCCAGGCTGGAGTACAGTGGCACAATCTCAGCTCACTGTAACCTCTGCCTCCTGAGTTCAAGCAATTTTCCTGTCTCAACCTCCCAAGTAGCTAGGACTACAGGCACCCGCCACCACGCCCTAATTTTTGTATTTTTAGTAGAGATGGGGTTTCACCATATTGGTCAGGCTGGTCTCAAACTCCCGACCTCAGGTGATCCACATGCCTCAGCCTCCCAAAGTGCTGGGATCACAGGCGTGAGCCACCGTGCCTGGCCTCCATTGTTAATATTATACTTCCTCACCATTATTTTCAATGGTTGCACAGCATTATCAGAAAACTGTCATTCATTTAAGTATCATTCTATGGTCATTTGAATTTCTATATTCTTTGTGACTATAAGCTTATAATTCTGTCTTTATGAATATTACATATTTAGTTCCTTAAAGCAAATTCCCAGAAGTGAGATTGTCACATCATATGTGATTGCAAGCTGTCAATACTGATTGCCCCCCAGAAAGTTTTGTCCTCATGTATAGCAGTACGTGAGAGCTGTCTTTTCTCTAGCAGTCTCAATGTTATGCACTGCATTTAAAAAGAAAAAAAGAAAAGAAAATGTTGCCAACTCCATAGACAAAAACAGGAAATCACCCAGTAGTGGTGAAGTACTTTTTAATGACATCTCTCATCTCTAATCCTCACAACCTTCTCGCCTATGCCTGGGCTTCCTCAAAGAACAAAAACAATGTGCTATTAATAATCTATTTTAGCCTTAAGCAAAGGTCACAGTGAACTGGCTGTCCACAAATGACAAATGGCATTTGGCTTTGGTCTCTGCGTCTCTAACTGCATTAACACGGAAAAGTCTTTTTTCCGGAGAACCAGTTGGAACCTACCAAGCCTCTCATTTCTGTTACCTTACATCACCACCCAAAATTCAACCTCCCCCAGACTTTGATTCACCCATCTTCATACTACTGTGCGTGTCTTCTCCCTATTCCACCCCCCCGATGCCTCCCACTGATGCCCTTCCTCTGAGCCTCCCCGGCATTCTCTGAAATCCTAGCTCCATGGCCAGCAAGCATACACCCTCAGTCCATACCCAGCAGGCTGTCTTCACTTCCTCCCTCCAAGGAGACCGTGGCTGTCCTCTGAGAGCGCATATGCTGTGACCCTTTCAAGTGGCGTGTTAATCCCCCTTCACCCACCTCCTACTTCCCACACAATTCTGGGCCAGGAAGGGCCTGGCATTCTTCCAGTTCTCTACTGCTGCTTCCAAATCATGATTTCTCCACTCCTCCTTTAGAGATTCTGTGCCTCCTAATGCCTTCTCTCTCCTTCCCCAGCCCATTCTCTCACTCCATGTCCCTCTCCCTCAGAGATCTCATTCCACCACAAGCCTCAAATACTTTGTGATTGTATCCCCTCCTGTCCTACCCACAGGAAGTGTCCCTCTTACCACTGGGATTGGGGAACTGCATTTTGGCATGGAGATCATGAAACACAGGCTTTTAGTATCTCAGGCTAGAGTATTACCTTCTGTCCCCTCAGTTATTTACACAAGCAAGGCCAGGCTAGGGCCTATGAGAAGTGACTGCTGCCCACTTCCTTCACTGGCCTCCCTGGGTTGACTCTCCATGTAAGACACCAGTGGAGATCCAAGCATTTCTTCCTTAAGGATTCAAGGAAGCTGTGTAGATAGTCGATCTGATATGACAGTGTGACTAACCTAGTACCAGTGAAGGAGCCCAAAGCCTTTCTGTATAGTCATTAAGAGTCTCATGTTTACACACTCCCTTATTTCTCATTCCTTCTGTGTTCCTGATCCTCCTCTTCTGGAGGGTTCCATGTCTAGACCCTTCTTCCATCTTGGTATTTCAACTTCTCTCCCTCTGAACAGTCTACCCTCCCCCATTCATAATGGAACCCCATCCTGATGCCTCTTATTGGTTCTGAAAATTCTTGTAGCATCAAGCATCTTGTTAGGCAATCTCAATGGAACCCTGCCCAAGCTTACTGAGCAAAGGAGGTCTGAACTCTAGACTAGTTGCCAAAGGGGATGGTGGATGGAGGCAGTAGTGGGCACTTTGACGGATTAGTCTTTCCATCTGTAATACCCTCCAAGCTATCAAAGGGCAAGGATGATTTATAAGTATTATTTTCTTTCAAAGACCAAACAATCTACTCTTTCCTAAGTAATTCATATTCCTCCTATAAACATAATGTCGACCCTACTCCTTGTAAAATAATGACCCTGGTCATGTTGCTGCAGACATTTCTCTCCTGAGTTGCTACTTTGAGATTCCTTTTCTTTGTATTCCTGAGTTAGTTCTGTCATTTTTTGTATCCCATATTTTGCCTTTTTTTGGTTTTCCCCCCTTTTTCATGGGGTATATCCTTAAGTAAATTCCTTAGAAAGAGTTCATGAGAGGTACATTTTCTGTGACTTTACATTTCTGACAGTGTCTATCTTTTTGCCCTCACACATGCTTGGTCAGTTGAGTAGGTACAATTCTAGTTTACAAATCATTTTCTTCAGAAGTTGATTTGTTCCATTATCTTTAAACACTCAGTGTTGCTGATGGGAAGTCTTATGCCAATTTGTTTCTTGTTCCTTCACAGTTATGTTGTATTTTTTTCTCTTTCTAGGAACTTGGAGGAATGCCTATGTGTCTTTGGATTTCTTAGATGCACAAAATTCCATGATGGTGAATCTAAGAGTGATTCTCTTTGCATTCCTTTGGCTCCCTTTCCATCTGAAGACTTCTGTCTCTCTTCAGCTCTGAGAAATTTGCATTTATGATAATTCCATTCCATCTACTTTTGGGGTTCTCTCTTTCTGGAGCTCTGAACAGCTGGACACTGGACCTCCTGTATTGAGGATTGATCTTCTGTGTTTTCAGTCCTTTTCTCTCATTTTCAGTCTCTTTATTTTCCTATGGTGTGAGAAATTTACTTTTGATCTGCAACCTTTTTATTTAATGCTTATTTTGGCAATCATATTTTTTAATTCAAAGAGCTCTTCCTTGTTCTTTTTGTTGTTTTTTTCTTCAGAGCACAATCTTCTTAAAGATTATATATCTTCTGTTTCCTAATTCATGAACATTTCATAACACTCTTAACATTTCAGCACATTTCCTTTGGTCTTTTATATCTTGATTACAAAAATAGGATTATCCCTGTGCAAAGCTCTTATAGATTTTCCTAATTCAGGAAACAGAAGATATATAGCAGAAGGAAATTGGGAACAGATTTAGGAAATAGAAGATATATATTCCTAAGGGGATGTTTGTTTTAAACCTTATCTTGGTTTGTCTTGTTCACACTGCTGATTTTCTTCATATGTATAGTGATTCTTGATCATATTTTAAGAGTAAGGGCCAGGTTGGTTTGTCCAGGCATGAGATGTAGATTACCTTTGTTGTTTTTATATGCAGGTATCCTGGCCCACTAAGTGTCTCCTATCAATGAGAAGTTGAGTTGAGTATGTGGCAGACTTGGGCAGGCAAGGGGGCGGTCTTTAGGCCAAGAGACCATAAACCCTAGAATTAAAAGAGCTTTCCTCTAGGATGCCAACTCCCACCATAGCAGCCCTAATTCATCCTAAGAGAGTTCTCCTTCAGTGGGAAAGAAAATCCTCTCTTTTGTTTGGAGTGTAGATGCTTGAATGCCTCTACACTGTGTTTGTGGGAACAGATAGCAGAGAACTGGTTTCACCCTGAGGCTCCTTCCCATGTATTTTGAGCTACAGCTTCTTTGCACTTCTGTTTTCATTTCTTCCTCCAAACTTAAAAAAAAAAAAAAACTCCTCCACTGATGATCCTCCCATTTTCTTTTTTATTATGAGACTTTACCCTTTTGTTAGTTTTTACTACAATTTTACTGGGACCTTGGGAGGGGAGAAAGGATAAAATCGTTTCCTAAATACCATCTTAAACCAGAAATGTTCATGACATTGTTTTCCTTTTGCTAGCTCTTTCCTGTGGGCTTCCTGAGGCCCCCAAGAATGGAATGGTGTTTGGCAAGGAGTACACAGTGGGAACCAAGGCTGTGTACAGCTGCAGTGAAGGCTACCACCTCCAGGCGGGAGCTGAGGCCACTGCAGAGTGTCTGGACACAGGCCTATGGAGCAACCACAATGTCCCGCCACTGTGTGTCCGTGAGTCCTCGGGCAGTGGAGGTGGGTGTAAGGAAGGGCTAGGTAGGCAGCTGGAGAGATTCCTACAAGGAGAGAACTAAAAGCACCATAATGAGGAAAAAAACCCATGGAGATGGAGATTGGGGGATTTCAGAAGAGGAGGCAAGTACTGAAACTGCTCTCAGCATTGATGACCATTGTGCCCTGGTGTTTCCACAAACCACCATGGAACTTAAGAACGGCCTGGTCCGCTCCCTTTTAGATGGAAAACCTGTCAGAAAGTTTGCTTGAATGTCCCTTGATTCCAAAGCTCTAAAACGACAACTTTTAGGCCGGATCATAAAATGGCACGATAATGTCCAGTCCAAAGGCAGAGGGTTTGGTTTTGTTGTGTTTTTTGGCCTACATGGTACTTTATAGCAAATTTTGAATTACTTCACAATCTTTTAAAATCAAGACATTTTACATTAAAATCCATATTTATCTTCTCCTGAAAGATGAAAATCTAACCAAGTGGAACTCAAACATTCAATAATCAACCTCGACTGAGTACTATTTCCCTTTTCTCATTTTTAATATTTCAGCAGAACTGTACTCCCCAGTTTGCCACATCCCCACCAAACCCACTCGGTTCATTTATCAAACCTGCCTGTGAGCTAACTATTCCTGGATTCTTCATGATTGCATTAAGGTCTCCAAGTCCCTAGATCTGGGTTCTTGCAAGATCTTCCACAATTAATTAATTAATCCTCCCTGTTCCTCATTTCCCCAGCTGTGACCTGTCCTGATATCAGTAGCATCAGTGTGGAGCATGGCCGATGGAGGCTTATCTTTGAGACACAGTACCAGTTCCAGGCCCAGCTGATGCTCATCTGTGACCCTGGCTACTACTATACTGGCCAAAGGGTCATCCGCTGTCAGGCCAATGGCAAATGGAGCCTCGGGGACTCTACACCCACCTGCCAAAGTAAGCCCAGGAGGGGAGGGTGGGCAAGTCTGGCAGAGTCCCTCCTACCTAAGCTGTCTCATGCATGGGGTGGACTGGGGTGGGGGAAAAGGGGGTTCCACCAGGGATTGCAGTGTAATGCTTTTTGGACTCTCATCTAGTAGAATCAAGAGCTGGGAAAATGCCTACTCCTTTAAGGAAGTATTTCTTACCATCGTCTCATTTTATCAAAAGCTGTCTTTGTCCAGATGAGCACCCACTAATTCATTTCTTCAATATTCATTAGGCTTTTACTGTATGCCAGATACTATAAAGGTATGAAGATAAAAGATTTTGGTTCCTGCCCACAAAGACTTTAGAGTCTGCTGGAGAGGCAGACACGTAAAGAAGCAATGATAATGTGGTGTGATAAGACCTGAAATGGGAGTGTATGTAAAAGGAATGAGGGTAACATTGGGGATAGGTCACCTAAACCCGCCTGCCTTCTCCATTGTCAATTGCTTTTCTTTGGTTCTTTAATATAGTTTCAAAGGTCAGAGTCTCTAGAAAGACACTGAGACAGAGGCTTATTAGAGGGTACTCTTGAGAACACCACCTGCAGAAGGGAAAGGAAAGGAGGGAAGGAAGCAGGACTGGGCAGAGGGAGAATGAGCTCTGATGCAGTATCTGTGAAACCCCCAGCTGACCCCCAGGGAGCTCTACAGCTGGAATGGCCCTTGAGAATTGTCACAAGTTGGAGCCATGAAGCCTTTATACTACCACACTGTCCAGCCATTGGATACAAGCTGTTCTAGGAAGGGGATATGACCTGCCTAGGTGGGAGGAATCTTCAACCACAGCAATCTGAAAACGGCTGACAGCCAAAGGTTGTTTGCCAGCAGCTGGGGAAATAAATCCTTCAGTCCTAAAACAGGCTCTGAGTGGCTCACCACGGCATACACGACAATAGGAATATGCTCATAATATTTATGTGACCAATGAGAATGTCATAGAGGAAGCAAGTGACTTAAAGACGTAGAAGGAAGTGGTCTGTAAGAAGTGGGAGTTGGAGACTGGGCAGGAGGAGGAATGATGTCTTCCAATGCTTGTGATCCAGGTTGGACATGGATCCCAGCACTTTGGGAGGCTGAGGTGGGTGGATCACTTGAGATCAGGAGTTCGAGACCAACCTGGCCCACATGGTGAAACCCCATCTCCACTGAAATATACACATACATATATATATATATATATATATATATATATATATATATATATATATATATACACACACACACACACACACACACACACTAGCCAGCATGGTGGTGCCCACCTGTAATCCCAAGTACTTGGGAGGCTGAAGCAAGAGAATTAGTTGAACCCGGGAGGCAGATATTACAGGGAGCCAAGACTGCCACTGCACTCCAGCCTAGACAACAGAGTGAGACTCCATCTCAAAAAAAAAAAAAAGGCTAATGTCAGTGATCCAAGACACTGTTGTCTTCACACACTGGTGCAGACTGCACAGTGGGATGTAACCACGTGTGTGGCAGAGTAGTTACAAGCATTTGACAGCCTCACTACAATGCGGCCACTCATATTTCAGTGCAGCCTTGGTGATTAGGCCTCACCTCATACATCAACCAGAGGCTCTCAGCAATGCTCTGTTGAAAAAATGTGTGAGTCTGCTGCAGGGCTCAGAAAAGAAGGGCAAGGAAATTGATTAGCAGTGTCTGCCCAGGTCACTAAGGAACATACTGCAGAATCGCCATCTCTTCCTAACCACAGTGCACATCTCAGCCCCCTGAGGAGGATTTAAAAAGCCTACAGGCTGGGGCCCTATCTCGAAAGCTGGTGAGTCAGGCACCTGCAACAGAGCTGGGCATTTGAACACCCCTCGGGGGCTTCTGGAGACACCTCCCGTTGAGGTGCCACATCACACAAGTCCGCATCACAGCCCATATTCTGGCCAGAAATTCCAGCAGAGTAAGGTTAAACAGGTCTTGTTTTTGTCACGATTGTTGCTAAGCAGAAGCAGCCACGTCCCTCCTCTTGGGACTGGCTTACTGAGCACCTTGTGATCCTTGTAGTCATCTCCTGTGGAGAGCTCCCCATCCCCCCCAATGGGCACCGCATCGGAACACTGTCTGTCTACGGGGCAACAGCCATCTTCTCCTGCAATTCTGGATACACAATGGTGGGCTCCCGGGTGCGTGAGTGCATGGCTAATGGGCTCTGGAGTGGCTCTGAAGTCCGCTGCCTTGGTAAGTGACCTCTCCAGGCCTAACCTTCCCAGTTTTTCTCCTCAAGATAGAACAGATCTTTCCAAAGCTGGGATCCAGTCTTTGAACAGGATCATTTTGCCTACTGACATAAAATGCTTAATCCAGTCACCAACTGTTGGGCATCAGGCATGACTAAAACCCTGGAATAGCTTCTCTTGGGCCACCCAAAGGAATGAGAACTTCAGATCTAAAGAGACAAGCCTTTGAGGGTTCTCATTCTGGTTAGAAAGACAATCCCTTCCTATTGGCCTTTATATAATGAGTATAGCCCCAGTCTCCATTTTTGGCAAACTTGCAGACACATTCCTGTAACATGCCTTAAATGCCTTTCATATTATATATTAGCAAATTTTACACACAATATATCAATATATACATACATACTAAGCAAATGACAGAAACATAAAACAACCTGGCTTACAAAGGACAAATTTATCCTTTTCTCCATGGCTAATACACTCTCTGGTTCTGTGATTCTGTCTCCTCTTACACCTTTCTTGAACCCCTAGAGTCTAAAAGAGGGCCCCAGCCACATAAACCTCACAGGATAGATTGGATGGTTTGTCCCGGGGTGAACAGTGCTGTCTTGCCCATGTCCCAAGCCTGTTATTTCCACAGAGAGCCAACAGAAACTGGCAGAAATGCCAGGAATATACTCTACCCAAATCCCATATAATAAAAAGAACTCACCTAGGTGTTACTCAAGGAGAAGGAAGGAAAGATGAATTTAGCTAAACCATCAGTTTTTACACAGTTGTTTCAACACAGCCAGGTTTTGACTACCTTAATGTAGACAATGGTGCCCTCCATGTAGCAGATGCTCAGTAAAAAACAAGATGTTCAGTCCGGGCACTGTGGCTCATGCCTGTAATCCCAGCAATCAAAAGCTGTCTTTGTCCAGATGAGCACCCACTAATTCACTTATTTAATATTAATTAGGCTTTTACTGTATGCCAGACACTATAAAGGTATGAAGATAAAAGATTTTGGCTGAGATGGATCACTTGAGGCCAGGAGTTCGAGACCAGCCTGGCCAACATAGTGAAACCCACCTCTACTAAAAATACAAAAATTAGCTGGGTGTGGTGGTGTGTACCTGTAGTCCCACCTACTCAGGAGGCTGATGAATCCCTTGAATCTAAGATGTGGAGGTTGCAATGAGCCAAGATCGCACCATTGCACTTCAGCCTGGGAGTCAGAGCAAGACCATGTTTAAACAAAAAAAAAAGAGAGAGAGCTACTCTTGAGTTTGGGTTTTAGGGTATATATATATATATATATATATATATATATATATATGGCTTTTTTGTATCTGGTTGGTAAGAAAAAGAGGGGGATGATACTGGGGGCAGGGAGGCAACAGTGATTATTTTGCTCACACCTGTGTAGAGACACAGAAACTAAAACTCAGAAGTGAGTGGCCATTTGGAATACAGCCTTTGGATTTGGGGTGCCAAAGTCCTCAACATTATTTCTGTCATGTCAAGGTTTCCTGAAGTCACTCCTGAATTGCTACTCTCAGGGAGAGGTGGGAAAAGTGATGAGTGGTGGGATAGTTGGTCCTTTTCCCTACCATCCCTGTCTTTCGCCACCCAGATTGAGCTCCACTCCATTTTCTATAAGCTCCTCTTTGATGTACTCTCTTCCCTGTCCCTCACCAAAGCTGGACACTGTGGGACACCTGAGCCTATCATCAATGGACACATCAATGGGGAGAACTACAGCTACCGGGGCAGTGTAGTGTACCAGTGCAACGCTGGCTTCCGCCTGATCGGCATGTCTGTGCGCATCTGCCAGCAGGATCATCACTGGTCGGGCAAGACCCCTTTCTGTGTGCGTAAGTATGTCATCCACTCTCCCTAGTCACGGGGCTCAGATTCAACATGGACTTTCTCCCTCTCTCTCTTAATTAGATTAGCTAGTGGGGTGGGTTTTTTTGGATGTGATTGCTAATTTTTTTTCAAAATTTAAATCATTGTCAATCTAATATTTTCAGTTCTCTGCATTATTAATCACTGTTTTGTCTTTTATTATTTCCTTCCTTGTGATTTCTTTTAGTTTATATTTTTGTTCATTTTCTACCTTTTGAGTGGGAATTTAATTCATTTATTTTTATTCTTTCATTTCTACTGAATTTTATTGCTGTAAGTGCTTAAGACTATGAAATTTCCTCTGATCACTGCTTTAATTGTGTCCTATAGAGTCTAATAATAAATGTTCATTATTTATTAGAAACTCTGTAATTTTGGTATTGAGTTCCCCTTTTACATAGAAAATTTTTAATAGAAGGATTTGTTTCTAGGTGGAAGACCCTTTTTGTTTTCAGTATGTTATTCATTTCTAATTTTTATTGCATTGTATGTAATATTTCTACTTCACAGAATTTACTGAAGCTTTCTTTGTGACCTAATAGTTGGTCAGTTGTTATGAATGTCCCATGTGTACTTGAGAAGAAAGTGTATTAAGATGTCATCTTTTATTTATATGTCCATGAGATATATCTGATTGATTATGTTGTCTATGTCCTCGACATTCTTACTTTTCACCCACTCAATCTGTTTTATTCTGAGAGATGTATTTAAAGTTTTTTATTAGTAGTATGTTTCTTTTCTTTCTTTCTGTAGTTTCTGTTCTATAAAGATGGCTGCTATGTTATTTGGTGCATAGATATTAATAACTAGTATCTCCATTGCACATTGTGGTTTTTAGCCTTTAAAGATGACTTTTTGTCACTTTTAATATTTTTTAGCTTGAATTGTACTTTGCTTCATATTAAGCTTACAACTCCTACTTTAATTCTTTTGCCAGTACATCTTTGGCCATTTATTTTAGTCTTTTGATTCTCTTAGGTGTGATTCTTATATGCAGCATAAATTGCCTTATGAGCTATCTTGACAATCTTTTTCTTTTAGTTGGTTAGTTAAACTCATTCACAAATATTAATATGACTGATATGTTTGGTCTTAATTTTGCCATCTCCCATTTCACCACTTCTCCATCCCTGGTAACCACCATCCTACTCTCTGTTTCTATTAATTTGACTTTTGGAATTATAATATTAGTTTAATTCTATTTTTCTTGTACATTTTTTGGTGATTTTTTGAGGTTCATAATTATTTTTCCTTTTATCCTAAAGTCTAATATCTTTACTAGGACATGCTTCAGAGTTAGTTATTCCAAAACAATTTCCCCAGGTATTCTGTGGGTCTTTGAACATATAGATTCAGGTCTTTCTTTATTTCTAATGATTTTTCTTGGATTATGGTTTGAAACATCAGTATTGTTTTGTTTCCCACTGTTTTTTCCTCCTTCATCAGCTCTGATTATGTGTATGTTGAAGCTTCTTTGCCTGTCTTCTCTCTCAGCCTCTTTCTCTCTCATTATTTTTACCTCTTTATCTCATTTTAATTCCCTTGAATTCTTGCCTGACTTACTTCAGTAACTCTTATTAAATTATCATTTTAGAATAGTCTTCCTTGGGCCTCTTATATATATAGTCTTCATTTCTCAGATGGTTTTGTCTTTTTCTTCTGTCTCTTTAAAGCATGCAATCAGTTTTCTTTTATTTTCTTTCACCTTTTGTGCATTTGTGCTTTTAGTTTGGATTTTTTAATTTTCATGGTGGTTTTTAAATTATTTAGAATATTTAGTTCAGTTTAGAATGCTGCTCTAGTTTTCTTATGCTTCATTTGTTTTGTTTTTGGTGAGGAGGTTTTCATCAGATGAAATGCTTGAATCCTTGTCTACTTTTTTCATAAAATAACTTTGTATACATTTAGGTTGATGTTTTCTATTCATTTTACAGCTTTAGTGTGCTTTAGTAGTACCCTCTTCTGTCAGTGTTAAAAAGTCTTTCTCTCTGATCATTTTTCCTTCTTTATCTCATTTTGACTCCCTTGGATGTTTGCCTTTGTTTTTTTATTTACTTTTATTTTATTTTAAATATAAGGGGTGTGTGTGTGTGTGTGTGTGTGTGTGTGTGTGGTAAGGGAAAGATTGCATGTCCTTCATTTTTGTTTGCTTGTTTTTCTTTTGTCTTGCAGAACCCCAGGTTTTCCAATCATTGCTTCTTTTTCCCTTTATCACTCAGAGGATATCATTTTATTTTCTTCCAGAAGCAATGAGGGAGAATCACACATTTTTATGTCTCTTTTCTGTAGTTGTACATGGACATACAAAAGTTTGTTTTCAATATATTCACATATAAGATGGATTTTCTCCTTCTAGCAGCAGTGTTAAGCCCTTCACCTGCTCCTCTCTTCTCTTTCATACAGTTTGCTCTCCACAAAAGCTTGGAACAGAAGGACGAGAAGTAACTCTGCCTGGGTTTAGTGTGTATTTCTCAACTTACACGTAATTTCAAGTTTGTAGCACTCTCTAGCTTCTAGTTAGTCTACAGGCCTGGGTTTTCTATTATTTGTTCTTCTGGTTAATCTGCATTATATATATATAATTTGCATTTTAGGTTTTGGGGTACATGTGAAGAACATGCAGGATTGTGGCATAGGTACATACATGGCAGTGTGGTTTCCACTGTTATCCTCAGCTGCCTGGAAGTAATTTGGAAAATTCTTCACTTTGAAAATTTCCCTAAAGTGAGCCTTTATGTAAAGTGCAGGTTTTCCTTCTTAGTTTTTGTAAAGGAGGTATTTTATTTTAATTCTTCTTTTGCCTTTTTATATATGGGATAAGACCATAAAATAATGAGAATTTCTCAATAAACAATACATGAAAATTAGTCTTAATAATTTCTTAATGTTTACAGAAAGCAAGACCCAAACCAGGTATGGTGGCTCATGCTTGTAGTCCCAGCTATTCAAGTGCCTGAAGCTGGAGGATCAATAGAGCCTGGAAATTTGAAATGAGCCTGGGCAACATAATGAGATCCCATCTCAAAAAATAAAAATAAAAAAATAAAGATCCATCTATATTCAGTCACTTGGATGTATTTAAATAAGACATATTTAGTTTTACCAAGAAGATGAACATGCAAATGCCCTCAGGAAGTTGGTACCCAATGTATATAAAGAGATTTAGGTAATAAATAATAGAAACTGTTTGGGTCTGGATGGAGACTTTCTGCCTGGCTTAAAGACGTTGAATGTTAGACTGGACCATATTCAAAATCAGTGAGTGAAGTAGTTAGGCTCTCAGGTATAGACCCAGATTGCCTGGGTTTACATCTCAGCTCTACCGCCAGATAGCCTGCAGCTATGTAACTGTAGTTAGGTCGGTTTACCTCACATGGTATCAGTCTTCTCACCTGTAAAAAGCAGGCACCTCAAAGACTACTGGGAGCATTAAATAAATTAATGCACATAAGATGGTTAGGCCAGTGCCTGATCCAGATGTTAAGCAGCAGTTGCTGCTGCTGCTGTTGCTGCTGTTGTGTGATGATGATGATGGTGATGGTAGTGGGGGTGGTAATGCTGCCACCATTACATCACAGAATCCAATATCTCTTTTTTTATTGTACTTTAAGTTCTGGGGTACAATAATCATGCAGGATTATTGCATAGTTACACACATGGCAAGGTGGTTTGCTGCCTCCATCCCCCCGTCACCTATATCTGGCATTTCTCCCCATGTTATACCTCCCTAATCTGCCCACCTCCCCACTGTCCCTCTCCTAGTCCCCCCAACAGATCCCAGTGTATGATGCTTCCCTCCCTGTGTCCATGTGTTCTCATTGTTCATTACCCACTTTCAAGTGAGAACATGCAGTGTTTGATTTTCTGTTCTTGTGTCAGTTTGCTGAGAATGACAGTTTCTAGATTCATCCATGTCCCTACAAAGGGTACAAACTCATCATTTTTTATGACTGCATAGTATTCCATGGTGTATATGTGCCACATTTTCCTTGTCCAGTCTATCATGGATGGGCATTTTGGTTGGTTCCAGGTCTTTGCTCTTGTAAACAGTGGCACAATGAACATATGTGTGCATGTGTCTTTATTATAGAATGATTTATAATCCTTTGGGTATATACCCAGTAATGAGATTACTGGGTCAAATGGAATTTATATTTCTAGGTCCTTGAGGGATTGCCACACTATCTTCCACAATGGTTGAACTAATTTACACTCCCACCAGCAGTATAAAAGTGTTCCTATTTCTCCACATCCTCTCCAGCATCTGGATTTTTTTGAAATAAATAATGAATTTATTATATAGATCCTTTATATAAAGGATGTAAGATAAACACAATTGATAATGTCTTCAGTTGCAGAGTTCATAGATGATCGCCATTCTAACTGTTTGAGATGGTATCTCAATGTGGTTTTGATTTACATTTCTCTAATGACCAGTGATGAGCATTTTTCCACATTTGTTGGCCTCATGTATGTCTTCTTTTGAAAAGCGTCTGTTCATATCCTTTGCCCACTTTTGAATGGGTTTGTTTGTTTTTTCTTGTAAGTCTGTTTTAGTTCTTTATAGATTCTGGATATTAGCCCTTTGTCAGATGGGTAGATTGCAAAAATTTTTTCCCATTCTGTTGGTTGGCAGTTCATTCTGATGATTGCTTCTTTTGCTGTACAGAAGCTCTGGAGTTTAATTAGATCCCATTTGTCTATTTTGGCTTTTGTTGTGAATGCTTTTGGTGTTTTAATCGTGAAGTCCTATGCCTATGCCTATGTCCTGAATGGTTTTGCCTAGGTTTTCTTCTAGGGTTTTTATGGTGCTAGGTTTTGTGTTTAAGTTTTTAATCCATCTGGAGTTCATTTTAGTGTAAGGTGTCAGGAATGGGTCCAGTTTCTGCTTTCTGCACATGGCTAGCCAGTTTTCCCAACACCATTTATTAAACAGAGAATCCTTTCCCCATTGCTTGTTTTTGTC